CCTCCCTCTCAAATTTCAAATTTCCCAATATATATATTCTTCATTGAAACCTCAAAATAAATCTCACATCTCCCATTTCCCACCCATTTATCCATCCATCCATCCATCCATCTCATTCATTCATATACAACACACAACACACAATATAACTATTCACTTATATCTTCCAAACTTCAAGAGGTTGATCTTCAAGTATAAAGTCCTGTTAAACAAGTAAATAAGTAAATAACACTTAGTTAGTTACACAAGTTACTTACTACCTTTATACCTTGGCATATATGGAAGCATTCAAATTTCGCTCAAGCATTTTTAAAAAACATCATCTACTTCCACCTCCATACCTACCGCACAAAGATGCACAGCACTCTAAAAAGACGATTTCAATTTGTACCACTTTGATTACTATTCCTATTGAGAACTCTAACCAGCATTCATATTAATATCAATTTCGACCTAACCTAATCCTACCGTATCGTATCGTATCACATCATAGCACCCTACCCCCTCAACCTATCCTATCCACCTCAACCTATACATCTCAACCTACCACCCTCAACCTATCATATCCTATCCCACTCACTCCACTCTACTCATTCCACCCCAGGAACCTCCATAACCCCCCTCCCAAAAAACTCCGCCACCGTCGCAAACTTATCCCTACTCCTCCCCAACACATCCCTAAACAAATCATGTCTCTCGGCACTCTCATCCTGGGCCCTCCTTATCGCCTTAATCGTATCATTTTCCTTTTTACACGTAGGACAGTCTCCCTCCACATTACCCTCATCATCATTCTTGAGACATCTCTGATGGAAACTATGCTTACAGAGGAAATGAACCGTCGGGAGATCTAATTGGGTGCTGCAGAAAGAGCAGCGGGTTGCGTTGAAGGTTTGAGGTTTGGAGGAGAGTTCGGTGATTTCTTGTCGTTTGGTTTGAGTGTCGGTGCGATAAGAGTTGATGAGGCGGCGGTTGGATGCGATTTCTTTTCGTTCTCGTTCGATGGTTTGTTGAAGGTAGATTTTTACCATACCCATGGTCGCTACTGCGTTGGTACTCAATGTCTGAATCACTTGCAATGGGGCCATGAGCCCATCGGTGTCGATCTTTTCTAATACGGCATCCAATTCATCCCCAGCTTCTTCTAGAATTTTCGAGTCTGATGTAAAATATGCTAGGGCCGCTGGATATAATTGCGGCTCATCAGGACCATACTTGTGCAAAGCTTTGATTGCTCCGCGAGTATCTTTTGCAGCAGTGTATGATCGAAAGATATCAAAACGCAGACCAGCTTGTTCACGAACAAGAGTAGTCCCGTCTTTGAAATCGGAGAGATGGGAAAGTAAAAGTACGTTCGAAATATCAATCGGGATATCTTCACCTTCAATAAGTTTCTTTGCTTTACCTTCCCACTCTTTTCGGTTACGTCCGTTCCTTTCATTTGATTTGTGTAGATACATCTCAAATAGAGTGGTGTAAAGGTCAATCTTATCACGTTCCTTCAGACCCGGTTCTTTGAGACATGCCTCCAAGAATACAATGAATTCCTCAGGATGATCCACGAAAGAAGAGAAGGCAGTCCTTGGTTGTGGTGGATTGTAAGCTGGTGGTGGCGGTTCAAGATCTTCAATAACCTGACCGTCAGCTGGTGCGGCATTGACATTTCCTACCGTGGCTGGTGAAGTGATGGTAGATGTATTCATGAAAGGGAGCGGAATTAAATCTCTCATATTCACAACAGCATTCACGGCAGCACCGGCAGCACCAGCAGCATATCCAGCATGTTGTACAGGAGCTTCCGCGGTAATCACGATATCTGTCATTGGCCTGTAGTTTCCCGTGTAATAGTCAATGAAAACCTGTGTTGTATCCTTTGGACAGTTTCCTAACAGAACTCTAGCATATTTCATTAGAATTGGATATGTCTAAAATGGAGGTCAGCATTTGTGATTAGCCACGCTGGACATGTCCTTACAGAATCAGGATCCAATCGCCAGATATACTGTAAAGCTTCCGGGTATCGTTTTGAATCTTCAATTAATATATCCACTACTAACTCATGTTCTCCATGCTTTGTTGCAAGGTATGCGGCTTGTTCGTAGTAACCACCCTGTCTGCACATCGTAATTGCGGTGTCAAGGTCAAATTTGAGGTCACCTGGGGATTTGATGAACTTCTCCAGTTTGTCAATGTCTTTTAATTTAGCGTAACAGTTCAAAAGCAAAGTAGTATGATCAGCTGTTGCTCTGTGATGTTCATGAAGCTCTTCAAGATACTCGATCAAATTATGGATGCGTTGAGTATCAAGGTACTGAGAATGTTAGCCACAACCTGAGGAAAGCCATAGGTACCAACATACTTTTCGGATAACTTGTGATGGCTCGGTGCTATCAATTGCTTTCAGGTATTGTTGCATGGCACCATCATAGTCCCCTTTCTGATATAAGAAGTCTCCTGATTTCCGGAAAATCATGTTTTGTTGCTTGGAACTCATACCGGCCTTTTGAGCCAAATTAATAGCGTGAATGTAGAGATTCCTTTGGTACAGAGTTTCAAGTCTCTGTTGTAATGGTTTCTCATGGTAACGATGTATCTGTTGTGTTGTCAGCTCCGATCAATACATCGGTCAGGACTACTAACCTTCCCATCTTGTGTCAATGTAAATAAGTCACCCCAGATTATGAATAGATCTTTGACTTGCGAAACTAGAGATTCCGAGTGGGCCACAAATTTCAAATCAGTGTCCAATAAGGTAAATGTCGACGTGTTGAATAGATCATCTGCCTGAGCCCCACCAAAACGCCGAAAGGTACTGGATTTCATCGCACTCGAAGTTGCGGGGGGCGAGACTATCGCAACATAATCCCCATATACTGCTACCAAGCTTTTTGGACCATCGTAACCATAACATGAATTTCGGCCGTCGACTCTATAGTAATAGATAGCATCCTCTCGGACTACCAATATATCACTATTCTTTTCATCCACCGTCATACATCCCACACCGCATCCAGAATCTTCAATAGGTCGAGCTGATTGACCCTGGCCTCTTCCTGAAATCACAAGCTTCACAAGACGTGAAGTCGTGGCGATGTACAAATTAATGAGTCGTTCTTCTTCTCGAAATGAAAGTCCGGTAATTGGTTCTTCGGATTCGTGTACTGTTCTTTGCTTGGCTCCCCTATCATGGATCAAATCTCCTCTTATGACGGTTACTGCTCCATTCCCAAATCCCACGGCCAGTTGTGAAAGGTCATCCATTGCGGTGAACGCAGATATCTGATATGTATTAGCAATCGATCCAAACCTGCGGATCTGCTACTGACAGGAAACTGTTTCCGCCCATTTTGGATGCTCAAAGTCGATTGACATGTCGGTAGACCCGTCTTCTTCACAGGTTTGTCCAGCGCCCATACTTTCAAAATTGGTTCGTGTGATAAATCTTCCTAGAATACATCAGCCCTAGATGTTGTGCCACCATACGTTTCCACCTACAGCTATTGTAACTAGCAAAGATGTGCCTTCCACTTGTTTCATATGTGTTATCGACCCAACATCGTGTGCTTGGAATGTTCGCAGAATCTTGAAAGTCGATGACAAGATTCGCACAACGCCATCATAACTTCCAACGAAGAGGTTCTCGGAACCGGAGCATACGCAGCTAACTTCGTTGTTCTGGAAGAAGGATTTACTCTCTTCATCTGGCGGTTTAACCTGGCTGACTTCGAAGAAATCGAAAGTTTTCCACTATATCTGTGAGCGGTTTACATATAGAATGGGCAAATCGAACTTACAGAAGTTAAGGCCATATCAACAATTCATCGCATTCATAGGGGGATTGTAGAAGAAGTGCATACTAGCTTCGGTGTAAATAAGGCTGCTGGGGTGAGCTCAAGGCTAGTGCCGGCTATCGGTGCACGGACGTTTATTAATCTACTTGGCTAGGAGTTTACTTTACTGTAGGACAAACCACATCAAGACAAATGGAGGGGCAAAGCATAGAAATAGAGTTCAAGCTGTCGAAGTATTTCATAGGATTATGGAGGTCAGCAAGTGCAGGTCCAATATCTTCTGCTACTAGTGTTCTAAGAAAGAATAGCAGTTTGTATATATGCTCTACGTATAACATGACCATTTCCTTATACTCCCCCCATCCCCCGTCGTAGCTAAATACACCCTCCTCAAGAAACGCCAATTTAAAAACCGTAATTCCCATATTACAATCAAATCTTCACAGATAGATCAGTCCTCACATTCACAAAGACATCAATCAAGTAAGGAATCCCCATAAATTACCATTCGGCAGCCTATCCAGGACCAAATCCTCCAAAAACCCATCCGTCAACGCTTGATTAATATTACCCCGATCCAATTCCAGCGCCATGAACATAATGGCCACAACAACCATAATCCTCTTATCAATCTTTCTCACCAACATGTGTTCTTCAAGTCCTGACAATAGAAGGATCAAAATTATGGTAATTTTCCCATTCTTTCAGGGGGTTCGTATTCTGCCACTGTGGCCGGATCATCAAAGACAGATGGCTGAGTAGCAATAGCCCCGGGATCATAGAGAGTATTAGAGTTGGAGCGCTGCCACCAGAATCTTTTTTCGGACGAAGGAAGACCCAAGGGAAGACCCAAGGGAAGAAGGGAGGAGGATGCGAGGAAATGGGTTGTATCGCCATCTACTTCATCTTCATCTTCATCCCCATCTAATTCGGATAAAAATTATTCACTCCCATTTCCTAATCCCACCTCATTTTCATCGTTTCTCGGGGATGCAACCCCATCGAGTCGAGAATATTGTGTAGCGTTCCCGGTATTCTTGCCGCCAGCGGATTTCCTGAAAGATTGCATTGGGAAACTCGACAACCTCTCGGTTCAACATCTTGTTTTCGAAGTTTGCGCATCGAGACATACTTATATTGGAAATGGTATTAACATCGTTCGGATGACGTTGGATATAGAGTAATCACGTCTCAGTATCGAGGTCGTTTGGTGATGTGCGTACAGAGATTCGTCGAATGAGAGTTCAGGAGGGACCCTAATATGCAGGTATATTATGTATGCAAAGGAAGGTTTCATCTCGTGGATGGGTTACGTGCTTGTTTCACGAGATATGTGTAAAATATGGGGTTTTATGGGTAAATAGGAAACATCAACAAAAGACGAGATAGGTAATCAGAGCAGCTTGTGGCGCGGATATCATCGTAGTGCGCTGGAGGTAGAAATAAAGCCTTAATGTAAATACAAGCGTCTTATTGATTTAAGTTATCGCCAGGAACGACACGCAAAACCGAGAATGAGGAAAGCATGGATGCATGAAAATATCCATTGATGTGACCATGTTGCTCGAGTACATATTGAAAGATGAGCAAGCCTCGCTTTCATCGTTAAACCATTATTTGCGGAAACTCATTGCCATCTCCTGCCACGTGCCCACCCCACTGTAGAAAAGAAACCCCAGCCAGAAAATCGCAAAAAGAAAAGCGTGAGGAAGTAGCAATAATACAATCGACGTAAGCGTAAAGTTGGTATTGTAGGTAGGGCGCAGAAATGTTTCCAGTACGGTTCTTTCTTCCCCTTAAGGTTTTTAGAGACTGATGAGGAAGTATTTACTGAGATGGGTTAGTATATTTTAAAGAAAAGTCAAAGAATTGGATACATACCAAAATCTCGTCGTCCATATTTGCATCTCCATTAGCAGCTGGCTGAGCAGCACCGCTCGCAGCTGGGTTATTATTACCGCCAGTCTCTACACCAGCGGCATTCCCGCTCTCCCAATAATCTGCCATCTCCAAATCGAGTTCTTCGGCAGTCTTCTTGGTAGGACGAGCAGTAGCACCACCACGAGAGCCTCTCTTTGCACCTCGCTTCGCACCTTGATCCTTGACGTTAGATTTGTTAGGGACTGCAGACTTTGGTTGCGACTTTGGTGTGGTTGAAATGCGATCCACGAGTCTCTTCGCAACCTTGTCTTCGAACGCAGCAGCAGCCTGAGCATCAACAAGAAGTTGAACCTATTCAGTGTAAGTGGATGCGTATCATAGTAGGCATGAACAATAACATTACCCTTAATGCTCTGTTGTCCACCTTGACACCATTAAGTCTTGATACAGCTGCGGCAGCATCTCCTGGGCGATGGAAAGTGATGTTGGCCTCGCCACGGCTAGCTCCATTGGGGCCATAAACTAATTGAACGGTTTTAGTGTTCAATTTTGCTTCGTGAAAGTACTCCTAATCATTGAAAACACATGGTATTAGTAACTGAAAATGATAGCGTTTTATAAAACGTCTTCGAAGTCGGCTGTCCACATAGAAAGAAAGTTGTTCGCAAGGTTTAAGAGCATCTCCATTCCAGCGCCATCATGAGAAACAGCCAGCGAGCGAGCGGTCAGCGTTAGTGATGTTGTTAGTATCGGACTTTGAGCCGGAAATTCCGAGTACTTCGAAGGGCAGATGATACATGAATTGACATGTTTAGTCAACGGTCTCCATTGCCACATGTAAACAATGCCTCTCTGTTTGTACCGTTGATGTTGTGATATAAAGAGTTAAGATTATATATCGCAAACACATAGATTGGTGAAAGCACTGATGTTCGGGGTGACCTCCGAAGGAAGAAAATGCTGTGCTGTGCTGCGATGTGCTGTGCTTGCTGAACCACTGCGCTCGCTCATGTCTATATTGTCCTCTTGCACCATTCTCTCTTTTCTATTCTTGCCATGCAGTGGCATGCCAGTCATAGAATATACACCATCATCGTCTGCGCCAAGTTCGAAATCAGGAGCTTGCCAGGCAACCCAAAGAATCATTGGTCTTATGCAATCTGACGAACCAGACTTCAATCCTACCAATGCATCAAGCAATTTGCGAGCAAAGGTATGAAGAGAGATTTTTGATGGGAAAAGAGGAATAAGTCCTAGTGTAATCAAGGCCTCAAGCAACTTCGACGGATCAAGATGAGTCGTGTAAAAATATCGATAAAAGTTCCTGAAGGTCATGATGACCTTATCGGTAACATACCTTAATCTGCTGTTCCGTCACATCATATGGCTAAAGTTAAAATGATTAGCGCTTGCCCTTTCGTGAATATCATGAGACAGTAGGTATACATACCAAGTTGCTGACAACGATTCGAGATGGGATATTTCCACCAGAAGGACCAGTTGGAGTGGCCTTGGTTGTACCTCTTACGGGCTTCTTGCTCTTGGATACACCTCCAACGGGAGCTGCGGTGGCGTTACGACCACCTGAAGGACGACCACCACGACGACCGCCGCCACGACCGCCACGACCACCAGCACCTGCGCGTTGCGTTGCAAGAATCTCGTCGAGAGATTGACCGAGTTTGTCAGACATTGTGAAGTTTTTTTATTAGAAGGTGGAAAAGTGGCTGGAATGGTTCGTAACGTTAGGTTCAAATAACACGAAATAGTTATTGATCGAGTATGGATCGATCAATCGCGTTCGGAGACGATATGGATGGGAGAGAGGCTAGCTGACTGTAGTTTCTGATGCGCTGTTATGCGTTCTGTGAAAGATCAGGCTTCAGCTGAAGACGCGCCTGAAAGTATCGTATTGGCAAATACGGTTGCGATTATCGAAGTTGGATGAAGTCGCAGATTGCAAAAGTTGATTTTGTTTGAAGACTTTGTTGATGAAAAATGTATGAAGGTAGGGTGATGGAGTTTGTTTGATAGTGGATGGTGTCAAAATTATTTGTTTGTTCGTTGATGGATTTGAAAGGAGTTGGAAGGAGGCTAAGTTATAATCAAAACAGCAAGAAGGTTCGCGATAGGATTTGGGCGCTAAGCTAAGATTGAGTCATCGCTTCTTTTATCACATGACTCACTAACCTATTCAAGTATAGCTAACGTGGCGTAGTTCGGGAAGCAGCTTGTTTGAGCTGACGAGTTCTTTCCGTCTGTATAGCTTTGCATGACCTTTCAATTCTTTTGATTCAATATCAGTGAATCATATTTATTTGCTAATAATAAGTCTAGAAATTATTCAGTGTAGGGTACTAATCAATGATATTTCACATTCAAGATAACTTTAAGGCAATGAAAACAAAGAGTTGGGAATGCTTAATGTCAGATTTCAGTGATATGTTAATAGCACATGGATGGATACCCTCGACCTATCTCAAATCACCATTTAGACGGATAAGAATTTGGTATCATGCTGAAACAACCAAGCTCTCCCTCACTCAATTCGGTTCTCAATCCATATCTGAAAGTCTCATCATACACAGCGCGAGATTGCAGGTCACCACAAGACATGGGATGAATCGATATGTTGGCTCCGGAGGTGACCATAGTATGAAAATGGACGTCCAGAGGGCTTCCGCATAGCTTCCTATCAATCTCTGTCCAGTATCCCGTCCTCCTAACTCCAAAATTTCAATTGCCCAGGAAGATGTAGAAATATGTCGTACAGAGCTGCTCTCTTTGGCCCTGCTTTTTCCTATCGGCCACACATATTCCTCGCTCCATTAATAACCGTCATCCTCACCACTCATCACCATTCAACACTAGCTTCTCAAATCATCTGCCCGCCACGTTTACTTTGCTATCATGAGACGTGGAAGTGGTGGTAACTTTGCTGTCTGACTTTGGCTCTTCTACTGCGTTGACTTCAAGAATGTGGTAAAGGACAATCAAAAGCATTGCGGCTGAGCCAAGGAAGATGGCAAGGCGGTAGAGTTCATCGTCGGAAATCATCTTGTATGTTTACTACTCGAGCTGTAATCCCGGAATTCGATCAATTCGAAGGAGGCCACGTAAGGTCTTTTCAAGGAGGCTTGATGAGTAGACTAAAGAACTGTTAGAATATCTTTCTATTTAATTATTGAACTGAACTTTGTAAAGTAACATACCAAGAGGCTTCTTTGTCTACATTAATTGTACCTAAAGAATTATGAATTGCTATTAGGTCGTTGATTCAAAGTCGAAAGAAGAGTCGTTTGATTCGAGTCGCAACAGCTTCGCGACTTTCCCTAAGGCCAGCTTAATGGATCCAAAGATCAAAGCTTTACTCCCCTACTAGCTGATTCGCTAAATTGGCCATTGAATTTTAACCCCACCAAAATCAATCAAGTCCTTGGTTATGATAAACTTTGACTTCATCACCAGTGTTGAAAAAGAAAAACCTGAATATTTCTTTGGCCGCACATTAGAAAATACAACCACTGTCATTTACATCTATCGATACCCTTACATCTGACCTATTTCTGGTTTGGATTTGAATATCGACTGAAACCTGTCACCCATACAATTCACAAAGTTTTAATAATAAAAAATTCGACAAAATGCCACCAAAGAAGGGAAAAGGCCTGCCGGATGCGCCTAAAAAGGCACCCATAACTGTGGCAGATAAGACTTTCGGTATGAAGAATAAGAAAGGAGCCCAAGCGCAGAAGCAAATCGAACGGATGCAAACGTCGTATAAGGCTGGAGGCACCCCCGATGATAAGAAGAGGCAGGCCGAGAAAGAGCAGCGAGAGAGAGAAAAGATAGCATCAGAGGCGGCAAAGAAGGAGGTGGCTGAATTATATAAGCCGGTACAAGTCCAGAAAGTTCCATTCGGTGTCGACCCCAAGACTGTTCTCTGTCAATTTTACAAGAAGGGCCATTGTGATAAGGGTAGAAAGTGTAAATTCTCACACGACCTAAACATTGAGCGAAAATCGACAAAAATCGATCTTGCGCAAGATCCCCGAGAGGCAGAAGCCGAAAAAAGAAAAGAAGAGACTTCAGACGACTGGGACGAAGAGAAATTGCGCCAGGTTGTGTTATCGAAGAAAGGAAATCAAAAGAGTACAACAGAGAAAGTTTGCAAATTCTTTATCGATGCCGTGGAGGAGGGAAAATATGGTTGGTTCTGGACTTGCCCGAATGGAGGGGACAAGTGTATGTACCAGCATAAGTTACCACCTGGGTATGTTATTTCAATTGCTCTATTCCACGCCTCTGCTAATAAAAATATAGATTCGTCCTCAAGACCAAAGACCAGCGTGCGGCAGAAAAGGCCCTCATGGACAAATCACCCCTCAAGACGCTTACACTGGAAGATTTCCTTGAGTCAGAACGACACAAGCTTACTGGCACATTGACACCAGTCAACCCCGAGACTTTTGCAAAGTGGAAAGCCGAGCGTTTGGACAAGAAGGCTGGTGAAGAACAAGCCAGACTTGCCAAGGAAGCTACTGGTCGTGCTATGTTCGAGAAGGGAGATTGGGAAGCCAGTGGAGACGAAGATGAAGGGGATGATGATGATGATGAGACATGGAACATGGAAAAATTGCGACGAGAGACTGACGCTTTACGAGAGAAGAGGGAAGCTGAGCGATTGGGCACTATGTTTGGTGGAGCAGTACCAAGTAATATTGACGAAGCCGCAACTCGGATGGTCGAATCTGAAGCAAACGAGGAGGGGGAAGCCTCCTGATCGATTCAAGATACACGGCATACAAAGTCACTAATTGAAATCACTTTTGAATTTTAGCGTCATTATGAAATGGGAATGTGAAACTGGAATTTATGTTGGCCTTATGGTTGGTCTCAACGAGGACGATTCTTGGGTTGATGCTAAGGGATGAAAAACGACTATTTCGCTGTGCTCCATCGAATAGCGCCACCATGACCCCTTCGTTGTACAAAAGAAATTGGCTGGAATTGGTATCTGCGATCACATCAATATTTCAATAAAATTCGAATAATCAATCATCGCTTTCCAACTAGATTTATATGTTTCGATCACTACACTTCACCGACGTAGTGGCGGCAGAGTATCAGATACTAGAAAAAGGTCATGTACAGTTGAAAGCATTTATGCACTTATTAAAAGGAAACTAGTTGATCTTTTCTTCGACCTAAAACATCTCAATACATCTCAACCCTATCAATCATATCCAACGTTTCATCATTATCTACAACATTGTCTATTGCGATCTAACAACAGGTTTGCTCTCTTTCGTCGGGGTCACTGTGACTAATTTTTAGCTTGATTCTAATGTTTGGTCGAATATCACCCACGATTCTTGTGTAGACACAGACAACATATCCCTCGTAAGCATACCAAACCCTGTCATAGCACCCGACAAGATACAAATCAAGACATAACCTACTTCTCATCAGCACCTGCCATACTATCCAAGAAGCATCAAACAAACTTACCATTACTATACATCCACATCATCATAATGCAATAACTAACCCCAAGCTGCACCACATGCAAGCCCGCTCTGACGCCTTGCTCCAAAACCACAATCCGTGTCCAGTTCACGGGCTGGAGATTGGGTCCCCCGAGAAGCTTCTCCTCAAGCCCATCTACATTTTCAACATCATGCCGGGTTTGAAGGAGATGTCGATGCTTAACTCGAAGGGATCGATCGTAAGTGCGTTGATAGCGGCGAATAACTTCGAGGGTTATGGGTAGTGTGAAACAGAGAAGACAGACGAGCATGAATTGGAAGCGAGTATGGATGTGGAAGGAGGATGTGAGGTAGCAGGTATCGAGGGTATTCCAATTGAGGAGCATCTGGTGAGGGAGGGAAGGTCAGATGAGTGGATGATATTGAGAAGGGTGGGTAAGAAACATACGGACATCTTGCATGAATTTCCTGACTTTGACATTGACATGGGCATTGAAGAGGCAGTTGCTATATTTGATGATACATTCGGGGTTGTCATGGTCGTCATATCCATATCCATTTCGTGAAGTCGCGACGTGGACCGTTTGAACCACGGATATGATATGCGAAGTGTATCAGAGAAAACAGAGTATGATATATCTGTAAGAAATCTCATCTCATCTCACTTCAATATGTTCTATGTTCTATGTTCAGGTCACATACCTTAATGATAATGCTCAAATCTGCGCAAATACGAATAAAAAACACATTTTTATGACCACATAGGGTGAACATTGTCTCGGTCAACGAAGGAGGGGCTGATTCGGTATGATTTGCTATCAACTCGCTCATATGCACTCTGGATTTAGTGAGTGACCGGGTCAATATTATATTGATGCGTATGATTACTATTTTTCTACCCAACCGAATTGCATTCGCTGGAAGTGATTTGCATCTAGTTATGCACACAAGTTGAAAGATAAGAATGCATAGTTGCTTCGGATGATGATTCCTTTGATACTGATACTCAAAAGCTAAAGAATCCCCAACTCGACCTAAATCAAAATCACCATACCATCCCGATTTAGATAACTCAGATCAGGATCAGGATCAGCAATGCAATGCAAGATGGGTTCATGACAGGGTTTTATGCTCCTTCATTACTATATATTAATAAACATACATACACACGATAGATATCCGAGAACTCCTCTATCTGAATAGTTGCTCAAAATCGGTTTACTCAAGTTTATTATGATTACCTTTTGAAGCGCTCGCTGTATGACAATTTGCCAGATCCCTCAAGCTTCAATGATGCGATGCGATGCAATAACATCACTATCCTATTCTTACCGACACTGTACTTCGTACAACTCTCTTTTCTTGCACAAGTAGCTCCAAGCGCATATACAATATTACCCAATCGAGCAAAAGTTGCGCAAGAATTCGCTCAAAATAGCGCAGAAAAGTGGCGCTGATCTAATGTGCTCTTCATTATCCTTGGCAACTTTGCGTGCATTTGAATTTGTATTTGGAGGTACGTACTACGTAGTATGGTTTGCATTGGTAGTGTGATGATTTGTGTGGATAGATTGGGATGAGAAGGATGATGATGTATGGGTGGGGAGATTGAGGGGATTGAGGGGATTGAGGGGTTTTCAAATGTTGAAGTTGTGGAGAGAGGAGAGGAGAGGAGAGGAGAGGAGAGAGCGGTATTTGCTTGTTTCTACTAAGAGTACTAGAGTGAGTATATGATATTCGACTTTTGATGGAGAGGGGTATGAGGGGTGTGAAGAGTGGATTCTTATACATCGGTACTGGTACGTGTATTCTGTTTTGAGAGATAGAAAGTAGAGCGATATACATAGGCAGGTATACTCTTGACTCTTGAATAAAATAATTAGTTTATTTTCCGCAATATTTAACACTCAGTCACAGATACAGATATCAAAACACACGAAAAATTCGCACTCAGTACAATATGCCGATCATCAACGAGAAAAAATACTCATGGTAAGTTACTAGAGTAGTTGTAAGGCTCTTCAATCTTATCCTCTCAACCCACGTGTATGGGACGGCTAACGAACGGATTTATAGCGAACCGTGTATCCGAGGACATAGAGTTACGTTGTGTAAACATGTTGATCGCGTACTCGTCGAGGTGGGTTGAATTATGAATATGGAGGTTCTTTTATTCGTATATCATGATCGCACTCCCTGATTTCCATTATCTGCTTGGAATGTTTTATATTTGTCTCTTTATCTTCTTGGTTTACAATCTTGGCTCCTCAATTTTCTCTAGAAACAATAGATCTTTCCTTATGGGTAGGAGGTAGAAGGTAGACAACTACTAAAGTCCCAGTATGGTAGGTACGCAAGCCGGGAAGACCAATGCAGAGCTGTGGACATCATTTTGTAACATGTTTTTGTGGGAGAGTGGAGGATGTTTCGGGTTTTGATGGTAAGTTTTGTGAGTGTTGTCATGTAGAACAGGTTTGGGAAGAGTGAGCTAAATATGGGTTACAGTGAGGACGACGAAATTTGTTTTGGAGGATGGGGGGAGAGGAAGAGATGAGATGAGTACGGGCTCTGTGAAGATGCCTTCGGGGGTCAAGAAGAGGAAGGCGAAGGTGAAGGTGACAAAGGGCAGTAGTATTCAACATCTAGAACTCCAGGAGAAACAGAAGTTGAAGGGTAACACGACTTTTCCCAATATCTCACCAGGTTTGGAACATACGATAGTAGCTATCTCCGAAATAGAGGGCAAAAGTATGGATACTCGGATCTCAAAAGTACGCCCAAATAGCACACATACCAACCAAACCCACGCGCTATCACCAAATCCAAATTCCAACCCAGACCCATTTATCCTCGCGTCCACACCTATACCCGCCATCGAAAACATTCTCCCTCCTATTACCCCCCTCCTCGCTCGTACCCGAGACCTTCAGAGTTATACCCCGATATCACTCATATCACTCATACCTCCCACCCATCCAACTTATTCCTCACGCAGAACATACATTCTGCCTCTCTCTCGGACCCGTTCCCTCGGCTCAGGAGTAGCTTCAGGGAAAGTCTCAGTGGGAGAATCGATTTGGAGTTCCTGAATCCTGATATTGTGAATATGTCAACATATTGATTGAGTTATGTTCGAGAAGAAACGATACCGGTACCTATGGCTGTCGATTCATCGGGTTTATCTACGGATTGTTGTGTGAGTATGAGTATGAGTATGAGGGAAAATGGTATAATTGGTTTGATTGGTTTGAATGGTGTGGGTATGGGTGTGACTATTAAGGCGCAGTATGCAGTATTGAAGGAAAGAGGGAGAGGGTAAAGGGGGAAAACTGTGTATTGATAAATGTAATGAGATAAGGTTCGGTTGAGGCGGGAGGGAGGAGGGGCTCAAGTTATGAGCGGGCTAGATATTTGTTAGTTTGTTCAGATTACTATGGCTAATTACTTTAAGTACTAGGAAAAGAGCCACGGAATGCATATCGGTATCTTAGAATGTGGTTGGAATCGATTCGAGTGAATCCCCTTGATCGTTCCTTTCTTATCGTCACCAGCTCGAGATTGCTGTTCAGTATTCGTTCGAGATCATTTTGCTTGGATTTGACCCATTGATGCACATCTAATCTCGTCGCTTTTAGGAGTTTTGTTGTTCACAAATCATCTGTCTTGACCGATTTCCTTACGCGTGGTTTCATGTCATGATCATATTTTTGAAACCCTCAATTTTCTTCAGATTTTCTTTGCATTGGTTACTTCTTTCTATCACCTATTACCCGAGGAAAGTGTGTTGCTACAATCACATGCTATGACGCGGTTATTGTAGAGTATTCTGATATTTCTGTACTAGGTGCATAAGCTCAGGAGTTTATTATACAGTGTTACTGATTCGATGGTGGAAACTCATGAAAAATAAGAATGTAAAGGTGTGTTAATTATCAATTGAGGTTTTGTTATGTGGATTATGTTGATGTTGTATATTGTATATTGTGTTATAGATGTACGAGTATTTGAATAGGAAAGATATGTAGTAAAGGGGAAAGGAAGGCGGAAGGGTATTTAAGCGACGCCACTGTTTGTTTTCCCCTGTGCACAGCTTCTTCTTCTTCCTTTTCTATTTTCTCTATAAAAACTTTCAAATTAATGTGATTGGACAAAATTATCGAGTCAATACCATCGTTTGAGGAATGTCATGATATGACGGTCACGGTTTGTGATCTCGATAACAGCAATAATTTCATCGCTCCTCGTGACTCCTCTTGAAGGGGTATTTTCTCAGAAAGCATTACCCCAGTTCTTGTCGCATACAGTCCACCGCTTAAACTCCCAGTCCAGTTTGTGAATCTACAGGCGCGTTGACGCTGTCAATCGGCTTGGCGTTTAGTACTTAATGAGAATCGGTTGGTATAAAGACCATTCCTTCCTATATAAACCCCAACAATTGACATTTGTTCGACAAACATGATCGACACGAAATGAGTAAAGCTTACGGGGCACATTGTTGAGTAGCGATTCAGAGTGTTACATCGGGCTCCTCTAAAGAATTCATATTCGGCATAGGTTTTCCTCTCTCCTTCTCAATAGGGGCAGCAAGGTTTTCTGCACTTCTCATACAGGTATTTTGTTACGTATTCTAGCTTGTGTTGAGAAGTGGTTCTCCTCTTCGTCTTTGTTGTTTGGGAGGTGAAGAAAAACGAGATTAGAGGTGATGTTCGTTTACTTTCGTATAGACTTGCTCCTCCATTCACTACTTTCTCTTCGCTTTCCGTTTCCCTCTTCAAATTACCTTTCATATCGTTGATCTATTCCTGATTCCTTCAAAAAGTAGTTCTGGGATTCGATCTCCAAGTAAAGCATTCCGCGATTCCTCGCTTCGTCAGTCCTCTCCATTTTTATCGGTTATTGCTTCAACCGCTCATTTCATGCCTCTATATTTGCATCTTTTGACTCCTTATCTCAAGGACCGTCAACTTCACTCCTGCTTCAGAGTTCTCACATGCATGCGTCTGACTCTTCTAACGAAACGCGGGAGTCTTCTTCGCGCCTTCATCTATTATTTACCTTATCAATCTTTGACATTTCTCATATTCTATGACGTCCGAATATGCATGTGTATTATGTTCCAGCTATTTGCGCGCCTCATTTCCATAATAATGATTTTTTAAATTGTGAATTGCCCATAAAGAGTTGTATTCAAAATCATGTTTTATAATGGGATATTTGGAAATAAAGTATCCAAACAGATATAAATACTGAAGAGTATAAAAGGGAATAATAGATCTTATTTTGATATATATATAGAAAGAAATGGAAAAGAGGGAAAAAAAAATGAAGAAAGCGCTCCTTTTGAGCGCATCTACCCATGACCGATTACAAATTTCGACAAGAAGAGTCATGTATATCAGTCATGGTTTCTCTATAGATCTTGGCTGATTATCTGTCATTACATGATCTAAGAAGTAATGACATTATTTGAGAACCATAGTCATATTACAACAGCATCAATTTAGAGCACAGAGTAACTGATGAAAAGAATTCATTAAGATTATATAGTTTGCAAATCAAGCTAAAATAGCAGATCAAATTCAAAACTCGAGAATCTATCTTCTCAAATCTCAATCAGAACTTACGAAAAAGTTGGGTCGAAAGTCACCGTTCTATTACTGGAAGACACAGAGGAGAAGTTCTGTTCAGGATATCAGGCTTAAAAAAAAGTACGTCAACGCATTGAAAATTCCTATAGACCCAGTTTATAGTAATGTAGCTTCAAAGAACTAATCATCTCTCCAAATTCCCCATAACTAGCTCTGAGATAGCTTTCCTCTTTTTCCTGTTTCAGAAAAGCAAGCCTGGAATCATATTGGCAATCCTCGCAACATGATCCTCCTCTCACAAGACGTGATCTCGACGGCATGCACCTCTCAATATGAATCTTAGCATTTAGAGTATTGCAATTCTCTCCCAGCTCCTGCAACCAACGTTCTTCCTCCGCCTTCCTCGCTGATCCAAATTCCTTCTCCAGTTTCTCTCTCATTCGTTTCGTTTCTGTCTCAATCCTTCCTTGTTTCTCTCTGGAATGAAGTTTAGACCTTATCTTTTCGCTTCCCCATTTCTGAGAATCTTGAACTCGCTTCTTTTCGAGCTTTATATGTTCGAGTAACCGCTTGCCTGCTTCATCTGTCTTGTTCCGTTCCTCGTTCCATGGCGTTTTCTTTATATCGTACATCGTAGCTCGAGCTTTCATGCGCATGCTATGTCTGGCAATCTGTGCCTCTTTTTATTTCTTTTCTCTTTACTTTTGCTCCGGTGACTTGTTTGCTTCCTTTCTTTCCTGTTCCTCTAAAAGCTCTTTCTTGATTTTCTCGGTGGCAAGTATGCCCGGCATTGCGAGACCTAGGCCGAGACCTGTATTTGAGGTACTCAAACCACTAGAATAGTTTTGGAGAGGATGCGTCATAATTATGTACTATTGTACTCGTGAACGGTGATTTGGAAAGTATATGTCGTTTCAGAGATGAATGTGGAGGTCTTCAAGTGTGTTTAGATTCTTCTATGCAATATGTTATTAGGTGTATGTATGAATGAGTATGGTGTTATTGGCGTTGGCTTACCCGTTGTTAGAACTTAGAAAGTCTGGAAGTTCAGGATGTGGATGCGGATACGGTTGTGGATGTAGATGTGGAAATATTATGGTGAAGAGTATTAATGTGAATGTGGTTGGTTCCAGTGGGGAAACAAACACGAATCTGGTTGTGAATAAGGATGTAGATGTCTCGATTCCGAGCTTAATTCGTATGCAAGTATGAATGATTCCAAAATGGAACGTATGTGTAGAAACAAAAGAAAAGAATCAAGATATGAGTCAAATCTGATTTCAGAGACTTATGTTTGAACCTTCACAGGAGCCAATATCTCCAAGATTTCTTCTGTAATAGCTTTTCTAGTTTCCTGAATATACCATCACATCACTATAACGGAGCTGCAACGATTCTTTCGGTCTTAAATTGAAAGTTACACTTTTATTATTCAAATATCTATATCCCTAAAGAAGCATGTCTATATGTACAATTTACAACCTGTGCTCCTTAACTTCTCCCCAGAGAAAGCCCTCTTCGGAATCATCCTCGCAGTCCTTGCAGTGTATATCTCTAGTTCTATTAGAGCTTGGCATACATTCCCATTCATGATGATTGCCAATATCCTTATTCTGTTGTTTGAGATAAGAATAGAAAGGATTAGCATCACCATCCCCTAAAGCTTTATATCGAGGATCCTTAGCATCCGCCATAGTCAATTCTTCCATCCAGCGTTCTTTCTCCGCTTTCAACTTTTCCTCAAGCTTTGAATCTCTTTCTTTTTTTTCTGTTGTAGAGCCTTTCCTGATCAGCTTTCTCTTCTGCTCTCACACTGGCTTCGACTCTGCTTTTCTCCATCTCACTCTTATAACATCGTCCAGCATATCTCAATCTCTTTTCTCGTCTCTCACTGTTCTTCTCTCTACTTTCTCTATCTTCCTTTTCTTCAAGATATTATAATTTAAGTTGCGCGTCCGCCTCTTTTCGTTCATGATCCCAAGGTGTACCTCGTTTCTTACAAATTGCATCTCGAGCCTTTGTGCGCCTTTTCATCCTCTGTCTCCGCTCATCAACCTCTTTGCGCAAAATAACTAGAGAATCTTTAAAGTCTTGTTCAATCTCCCGATCTTTTCTCTCCTTCTCCAATCTGTCTTCTTTCTTCTCTGCTGGTGTCTTTGATTTTTCCCTGTCCTCTAGTGCTTTTCTCCAATGATGGCCTTCGTACTCCTTACTTTTGAGATAATTAGCCCAAGGCCCCATCGCCGCGCATATAAACTGGAGGATATTGTTGGAACTTGAGGTGCTGGAGCTCGAGAGGTGTATGCCAATTTTCAACGGTACTGTTCAAGCAGAGGTTGATGTTTTGCTTATCGATATTTCTAGATTGCTGATGTTCTTGTCCATATTAACACATGCAGACAACTGTATCGAAGAATTACATACCAAAGACGATGCTATTATCAGATCGTTGACGATCGTGTATCAGCGTAGCGTGAAAATATGTTGAACTGGTTGTTGCTTTGATGCTATGGTATTGGTATCGGATAGATGGAATGTGGATCTCGATGCAATATTTTTGGTTTGAAGAGTATGTAAAGGTAATAGAAAGGAAACGAAAGGAGAGGGGATGGGGTGGGCGAATCATTTATAAATGAATATGTATGATTCGAATACTAGTGAGATGCAAATGATATAACTGTATCATGACTAACATTCACCTACAGAGATTTGACTATTATGGATATATCTACGTTTCAAAATTAGTGATTGAGTCAAGGATCTCTATACAGCACATCTTGCTTAAAACTCTTTCCCGCCCCTTTTGTTTCCTTTTCCTTTTCTTTTTCTTTTACATACACACTTTCCAAGAAGCATTCAACCCGATATCGCAGATCTCTAGATATCCACGAACTAAACTTCAAGCCGTTCATCCTCATTATCCAACTTAAACCCAGAGATTAATTTATCCTATCTCAGTTTGACCGTATCGTCTATTCTTATTGTTCGATATTACCTTGAATATTAAACTATCACTTGTACGAATCAAATTCGAAGATTCAAACACCCATATATTATTAGCCTCGATTTCCTGACAATGTGAGTTCCATGATCATCGGCATTTGATTTGAATTAGATATTGACAAAGCATAATAGCTCCGAGAAAATTCCTTATACATATCGAAAATCAACAGAGATCAACTCCACTCGGGCAGTATCACTTGAGCAGTACCACTTCCGAGCGAGTATACGATTCGTGTTGCCACTAGAAACTTTCGTACAACTCGAGCGACCATGTTGTAGCCAGTATGCCGTTCAAAATACCTGAACCATGGGAGCCAGCAGAGTTCCAGCAATTCAAGCCCGCCGGGTACGATAGTTTGGAAACATCTTCAAAGATAGAGATGATACTAGAATGGCTTGCCAAAAGAACACCTGAGGAGAAATGGAAATATGAGCGGGAATAGTCGGCAGACATGAGTAAGATGCACAAATTGCAAGAAGAGAATACAAGAAAACAAAACGAATGGAACGATTTTGCAGACAGGGTATCTGCACGCATGAAAGCTCGGAAGATGATTGAGAAGGAAAGAGGAACGCCTTGGGATAAGGAGCGAAAGGAGTTAGATTCGGCAATCTGTGCTTGGAAAACCGAAGAATTTCTTGAAGAATCTCAGAGAGACGAGATGGAGAAAGATTGGGATAGGGGGCTGAAGTCTGCAATAAAATCACACAGAGACAACTCTCAAGAAGTAATTCGGATGTTACTAGAGCGAGAGGCTAATAGAAACCATGCAGAAGAGGAGAACACAAAGAAGACACAGGCTCGGATGGTGAAGTTTACAAAATTAGAAGAAGCAGAGGCAAATCGCTGGGAAGAGGAGTTATCAAGGGCCGCTACTCTTCGAACTAATCAAACGGGTATCATTAATGGCGGCGGACTTGGCTCTGTGCATCGATCTATGTGTATACCTTCTGACTATATCTCTGGAGAAAGAGATAAGTTCTGCGAGGACTGCGAAGATGACGAAAAGATGGTACGGCTGACAGAGAAGAGAGAAGCGGCGGAGACCAAATCACCCATTTCCTACTAGGTAATTATAACGTGGGTGGTCGGAATACTTTTTAGTCCAGGAATGGTTTCCCTCAAGGAAATTTAGTTTTCAAGAATAGAGCGTGACTTTTAAACAATAATTAAGTGCTCCTTTATTTGTCGTTGCCCCTCGAATCCAATATTGTAGTTCGTCAAATGGGAAATAACAAGCTTCGTCTTTTATAAACAACGAGGAAAATCAGTCTTTTATTCCCTTATAGATTTATAACGAGAGAGAAAACAACGAAGAGTCGTTAAATACCATTTTATCTGAATTCGTCTCTGTATAACTAACTTCACCACGGGGTTATTTCACAGAGCAATAGTTTGATAATAGAGAAACTCTCATAAATCTAATAAATCCAACGATAACCGAAACCCAAAGACTATCCCACTCCATATAAAGTACCGAGTCTTCCACTACACTCGCCTAAACACCCAAAAATTCATAGATTTAAGCATCGAAAGTCCGGCCCAAAAAGCATCCACATCGCCCCAAACAATCATTATAAAACCCATTTTTTTCATACAAATCCCCTACCATGTTGTCATCAATCAAACCATCAATCAATCCAATCAACCAACACAAGCCCCGAGTCTTTGGCACCAAACCCTCTTCCCCAAAGCCATTTAGCCCCCTATCAAACCCAATTCTACACTCTACTTAATACCCCCCCCCGCCACTCCACCATTACCATTCCTCCCAAGATCTCCAAAAATCGCCTTCTCTAACTCCCTTTCTTCATCTTCATTAAGCAACTCCGACTCCTCACCCTCACAGCTATTATACTCACTCTCAATCGATTCATCCTCCTTGAGAGTGCTGTTCACTCTTTCCATTTCACACTTTTTCTCTGCCGTGTAGCTATCCTGTTTCTGCTGCTGTTGTACGTCTATATTTGACTTTCCTCCATCATGTTTAGATGTATGTTTCTCAGGACCTTCCTTCTGTCGCCGTTCTAACTTTTTCCTCGAGATCTCTTTTTTTCCCGTTATCTTAGCCACGGACATTTTCGCGAAAGTTCGGCCAAATACGGTTTCCCATGGTGTATGTAGATGTAGAGATAAGCGAGGGGATGTGGTTTTGATTTGGATGGTGATTTATTGAGATAGTGGTGATTGGAAGTGGAAGATTCGAGAACAGAAATTGAGCTAATATCGCGAAGTAGTTTATTGAACCTCTATTTAGTATGCGAAGGCGATAATAGTAATAGGTAGACTTTGACAGTGTAGAGATAGATATTTCGTACAGTTGATATGCTAACAGCGGTGTCTGGTTGCGATGAACTTCGATGTCGAAGATAAGGGAACAGGAACTAGAGCTGGATCTGGAGCCGAGAGCGAGAAAGGATGGTGAAGAAAATCTGATACTTGACAATGTGACGCATATTTTTGGAATTAAAAGTTATGAGTACTCGCCATATACATTGCCGTGACTTGAATCAATACAATGAATCGCCATGGAGACTCATTATAATGCTTCGAAATGATCTGGAATGGTAAAGCAAAGTGTGGAATCCATATAGTAGTAGAATCGAGTATTGAAAATGACTAAGAAGATACCTATACTCGATGAATAAGGGACAGATTATTAGACATACAAAAGTTTAGTTACTCACCTACTCGATCGAATATCAGGGAAAGAAATAGTCATAATCACAATCACAGTTGCGCTTGCAAATGCGAAATGACTTCACGGCCATGATACTCAACAATGAAGAGGATCAAGAAATTAAAATGGCAAACCACAGAAATAAGAACGAATACCGATCGCACCTCAAAGTACTCATACAATCTAAGATTGCATATAGACAGAGGAGATTTTAGCATGAAGCCAAAAGTAAGCACATTCACCCATCAAGATCTCATGCTAGCCACAGCACCTATCTCTTCTTTCAACGCCCTCTTCAGAGCTCGACATCTCAAGCCTTAGATGTTATCCAATATCTCGGCTTCACAAGTACTATTCTCCAGCCAGCTGGAAAAAGAAGCCAAAAAGCAAAAGCGCAACCCATCGTGTAAGAATTTCAAAGTAATAGTTCAACTTATTAGCACTTCCACCAAAAATCGCGAACATCTATCCTATCCCTAAGCGCGGACCTTCCCGCTCCGCCGAATTTATTGCACGACCTACCTACCCACAACTCTAATCCTACCCGCTCAATGTTGCATATCTACTGATAAGATAGATGATATTCCGATAATAAGATATCAGATAATAGATAATAGATAAAAGATAACATAAAATAAAAGATCGACCTAAGAAACTCCGAAAGATACAGTAGATAGATGGATTACCCCTTTACACAAACGCTCGGACCATCCCATCGTATCGTACCACCTTACTTGTAGACTTAGATTCCTCACGTGATAATGAGCCAAAATGACTCATAATGGCTCTTTTAAATTGGTATCACCACACCTTAGCAGGAAATGCGCTCATTATATGCCAGGATAGGGAACGAAATTGATCATAAAATTATATCATATTTTGGAAATGAAGAGAGAAAATATGTGGGAGTTGTGAGGGGATGAGGATATTGAGTACCGGTATGTGTTAGATTGGCCCTTGTGTTGATCTAGATTCTCCAGTTACATTTTTTAAAGGAAGATTGTTTGATGGGCGGTTACTTTTGCAGGAGGGAATTGTCTCTAGGTGGTGAGAAATAGGATAGTAATGATGAATGCAATTAAGATGTAGTAAAGGGGATAATATCGCTGCATTTACGATCTTATTGGAACTTTGGAGAATGGCTGGCTGTTCTTTGCAGCGTGATGTTGTGATGTGGGAAAAAGAGGTGGTATTGAGGAAAAGTATTCATCATGTGAGAGCCGTTCATTTCGACTCATGGTGAGATATTGTGACGAGATACTCATCTTTGTTGGTAGAGGATTGATGTAGTATAAAATGTGTAGATAATATGTACAATGGTGATGGTTTGAAACTCCAGAGAAATACGAAGATGAATCGTCGCAATGAAATGAATAGAAGCAACACATGAAGAAAAAAACCAAATGTAAGTACCCCAGAACTATGCCAAAACACATCCCATCTCCTTGACCAAGATTACAACCCATTTTGCCGATATGAGTGACCATTTCTGCTGGTCCATGAACTATCCAACCGACATCGTCTGAAAGTCTCACATAACATCCCCTTCACATCTTTAAAATTGCAATATATGAATGGCAAATGACAATTATATTCAAGTATCGATAATCAAAACCACCAAACTCAACACGAAACCAATCCCACCATCCTAATCCTTCTTACTCAACAACGACTTCAAAATATCCGTCTCGCCCTCCAATTTCGCAACACGAACTTTCAAGGCATCTCTTTCACGTTCGACTTCTTTCATTGCAGCCTCGAGGCTACTCATTTGATCGACGCGTTTTTGACGATATCGACGAGCGGCCATCGTATTGAGTTTACGTTTATCGACTCGTGACATGGTGGTTGATGAGCTTGTGGGAGTTTGTATTTTGGGAGAGGGGGATGAGGGTGGAGATGAGTGGGTTTGTGAGGTTGTTGATTTGGGTTGGGGAGAAGGAGGGGAAGATTGATCGGTGGATATTGCTGTAGGGGGAATATGTTAGCAATGGTGTGATACGAGATGTAGGAATATAAACTTACCCCGATGAGTTTGATTATCGAGAAATGAATGGGATTGAGGCATATTGTCAATGGATCCAACATCCGATTGACCCAGGAAATTGTCATTACCGAGTAAAGTACCAGCAGCGATGGGGAAAGAGGACTCGAGCGAGAAGTCCTCTTCTATTAACGGATTATCCCATGAAAGAAGTTCGCAAGATGAATCGGTTTGTGGCAACCACCAATCAGAGGAATTCTGGAAAGGTGCTTGCGAGACTGGAAGTGTAAATGCATCGAGGGGAAATAATGAATCTGCTGTCGAAGAAACAGAAGATTGTGCATTTACGTCGAAACCGAAATCATATTCATGGAGTAATTGAGCAGTATTATGATCCCAGTGAGCAGGATTTTGAAGATCATAGAAACTACTCGTAGAACTAGTTGTCGGATTACTGTGGTGCGTAGAATTCGATGTTGGATTGACGGCTGGCCCCTCCTGTTGTAGTAGTGGTGTCCAGCATTGTTGTATAGTTTTGTACGGGCCTTATGACCCGTGGGTGAAGTTTTTGATTATCGAAAGATAATTGTCGCGGTGTCGGATTAGAAAGGAAATCCAGAAGTGGGAAGTCTGAGGTTGGGTCTTTGTAGACTGTAATCCGATTATGTAAGCAGGGGTAAGCGCTAAGACTTCTCCAGCTTTGATATCGAACACGTGTCTAATTGGTTATACGAAATGCTGTGATACTTGTGACAATGAAGTCTTCCTTTACTCTGATTCGATCTCTAACAAAAGCGTCACGCATTTAAATACTTTGCACCCAATAGTGACCGCAGCTCAATGTCGTGTCTCTGACTCAGAAAAGCCGTGATTGTTTGCATCAACATTAATACATTCCATATAGTCAAAGAATTCAAGAGTTTCGGTTCACAAGATGATTAACTCGGTCAAGATGAGCATTCCAGGTTTGCCGATCTTGGCCATTCTTCCGGTAATCGGGTCCGCTTGTTCCAAATGCTAATGCAGTTTTACTTCATCTGTACAGAAAAACGTCGGCAGTCGGCAGTAATTCGAAATATCTCGAGGGCTCCCGAGACCTTGATCGTCTTTGGCAGTCGATTGAGCCATCCTTCGCGAATGTAGTCAAAATGATTGTCTAAAAATATCAAAAAAAAATTTGGAACGATCGATGCCGGTGGTGGCTCCTCCCAAATGAATATAAATGCTGCCTTCAGAAGTCCAATGCAACAATTTTTGCGCTCAACTTTGACTTGCCACTGGCGTGGACCCAGACTTCGTGAATACAACAACTCTAAAAACTGAAAATCGGCATGTTTTAGGGCCGACAACGCAGACAAGCAGCTTTGCCTGAATCTCACATATACAAATATCTCAACCCCTCGCGAACCTTGTCCGAAAGCCCTATGTTGAAAAGGATTACATCTCAGCAAAAGCTTAGATTATTATAAATACTGACTATCGGAATCTCCGGACTGCCAGCAAGCAAGGAGAATCGAACCCTTGAAGTCAACTCGGTCGCTGATGAATCGAATCCACGGAGGCAAATTGCAATTGCAACTTTTCTGGCCGCATAAAGCGAATCAAAATGTGAAGAAAGAGCAAAACGATCACATATTATGAAAAACCCTGACCTCATTCGCTCAGGAGCAACGATGGTTTATATCATCCTGCTCAAGAAATCGAGCCCGCCACCAAGAAAAACAAGCATAAACTCGTACCGTATCCAGTCGCATCTTAATTGACGCTTTCACCCGATGTCAGGAAGTCGGAATCATGCATGTCAATGTCTCTTAACAAGAGATTGAGCCCTGTAGAGGACATATATGGTGATATTCTGGTACAAATAGCGAAGTAGATTTCGGACATGTTACCGTCTTTGTCAGGGAGCCGAGGGAAATAAAAAATTCATGAATAAGAAACATAAAGCTAATTAGTCAGCAACCGAGGTAATGTTGTACGACCTCGTAATCTGACCAAACAAACGTTAAAGATCTGACAGTAAGGAGAGATGAGATACATCTAGATAGCTCCAAGCCCCATCTTACGAACAGTGCACAGATTTCGCACTACCACTGAGGAAAACCGCGCCTCACTGCAGTCATCGTGGATTCGTGGAGATGGGGATTACTTTATTGACCAAAATGGGATGAAACGAAATCCCAATGATCCCAATGGGAAGAGCAGGAACGTGTATGTGAGATGGTTGAGGTGCTCAAGATGGGTTGTACAATAGAGAGAGATACTGGTAAGTCAGCATGATCTCTGGTAGGCCGATCCACGAGATCTGATTTTGATACACAATTTAATATCCGGTACGATAGCTTGGAATTTTTCAATGCTACCCTCATCCAAGCCCTTGAGCCTTGAGGTGAATCAATCCCTTGATTCGCCGCCCAGGGAGCATTCCATCAAATCATGGATTATTTTGACATATGATCTGATCATGGCCAAGTCTCGTTATTGAACGAATCGGTACCTTATCTTGTAGGAAAAAGAACGGCTTCTTGTGGACCAAGCAAACAGAAAAAGAACGAACTGACTTCAAGCATTCGTTACGTACCCAATTCTTTCAATTATTCACTTCATTCAAACTGTATCACAAATGTATGGCTCGTAAGGTACGAACCCGTACATCAAAAATCTCAACCTCCGCAATTTCAGCTGTCCTGGGAAGTCGGCCTCCAATGCTTATGTTAAAGTCACCTTAAAATTTGAAAGCTTCATCTAAATATCAAGCAAAGTCCTCACATCTATATCCTTTCTCTTCATCTCAAGCCTTATCTCATCTGCTCAACTTCCGCACCAATTCTCCCACCAATGGCCTATTATGGCTTCTTCTTCGTTTTTATCATCGTGGCTTACCTCTTCGACAAAATTGCAAAGCATGTTTCTGCAAAACAATTCCAAAACGCACATGGTTGCAAGCCAGTACACAAAGTCCCTCAACGCGAACGCATCATAGGTTGGGATATGTACAAATTTCAAGTCAAAACTTCGAAGGAAAAGAGAAGATTGAAAGCCGGTTATGATAGATTCAAGGACAATGGGCATACTTATGTACTATCAATGATGGGATATGATTTCTTCAACACAATCGAGCCAGAGAATATCAAGACGTTACTTTCAGTCAAATTCAAAGATTACAACTTGGGAGGAAGGCGTTTAGCTTTTGCGCCCCTCCTTGGGCAAGGGATTTTTACCACTGGTGCGTCATGTGATATTACATTTTGAAGCAGAGAATTAACTCCTTTACAGATGGTGCAAAGTGGGAACATTCAAGGGTATGAATTGGAAGTAGAGATCCGGATAATTCAAATGCTGACTTGGTGTTAGGCATTGGTTAGACCAAATTTCAACAAGTCCCAAGTAGCAGACCTCAACATATTCGAGAAACACATTCATATTCTGTTCTCACAAATACCCCAAGATGGAGCAACCTTCGATCTTCAGTCATTATTCTTCAAATTGACTCTTGACACAGCTACCGAGTTTCTCTTTGGTCAATCAGTACATTCACTTACCAGTATCGAAGGCTCCGAGCAGCACAAATTTGGCGCAGCATTTGACCTCGGCCAAATCAAATTAGAGAGACGATTCTCAATGGGTAAACTGGCGAATTGGATGCGCGATTCCGAGTTCGATGAAGCATGCAAGACAGTACATTCATTTGTCGATAAGATTGTTCATGAAGCTCTCGACAAAATCGATGCGAAGGAAGAAAAGGCCGTAGAAGGTGACGGACCCGGACGTTATCTCTTTCTCACTGAAATGGTGAAAGCAACGAGAGATCCGAAACAATTGAGAGATGAATTACTTAATATTTTACTCGCTGGACGAGATACAACCGCAGGTTTACTCAGCAATACATTTCATGTTCTCGTGCGCAGACCAGATATTTGGGAGAAATTAAAGGCGGAAGTCGATGAGTTACATGGCGCGAAACCGGATTATGAGACGATGAAGGGTATGAAGTATATGAAATACGTTTTAAACGAATGTACGTGCCCATAACACCCGTTTACTCGCAAAGCCAATCTAACATATTCTCATAGCCCTCCGCCTCTACCCCGTCGTTCCAACCAACGCCCGTTTTTCCTCTCACGATACCGTTCTTCCCGTTGGTGGCGGCCCAGATCGCAAATCCCCCATCTTTATTCCCAAAGGTTCCGCCGTTGCCTGGTCTACCTACACTATGCATCGACGAACTGATATCTTTGGGCCCGATGCCGAGGAATTCAGACCCGAGCGCTGGGCGCCCGAAGAAGGTTTAAGGCCTGGTTGGGGGTATCTACCATTTAATGGAGGCCCTAGGATTTGTGTTGGTCAACAATTCGCGCTGGCGGAAGCGAGTTATACGATTGTGAGGCTGTTGCAGGAGTTTGGGGGTTTGGAGGATAGGGATGGAACGAATTGGGTGGAACAGTTTGCGCTTACTATTTGTAGTGCGAAGGGGGTACAGGTGGGGATGATTCCGAAGTAGAATGGGGAGAAGGGGATGGGGGGGAGGTTGTACATGATTGGGAGTGAGGTATGGAGATGAGTGCATTTGCATATACCAGTGAGGTACCTCAAATAATATGATTGATAAACGGTAAACGGTAAACGGCGGATGCAAAATAATACCTGGACTAATGAATACAATGAAATAGAAAAATATCCTTTGGAGATTTCGACTCTATTTCTGTTAAAACATTTGTTTTGATCAATACACACTTGACCATACACTACATGTTCCTCAAGTGAGGACCGTAGAGTAAATGAATCACCTCACCATCAAGAAGATTACCCAATTCAAAAGATCGTTCCGTCGGTCCTCAGCACCCATAGAGTATAAAAACACCCGATACATCCTCTTCAAGTTTCCTCCGAATCAACTACCTAACAAACGAAGAGACTAACTCATTTGAGGTGTGATCCGCCTTTGCGAGTACTACTACAGTATCTCCATTCTCGTTCACGAGCTATTCTTATTCTCATTCAAAGATTCCCTAACCTCTTCTCTAGCTTGTGATATGATATATAATTCTTTTCACTGGCAAATTGCAATGGTATTCACGGAGTTGAAAAAGGTTTGTTTGTTGCTAGCTTCTCTTCTCATTGCTTATTTTTCATCGTATCGCTATTGTCGGACTCGGCTCTTTATTGTCGATTCTTTTTTCTTTTCCACCAACTCCGTGATTCCTTTTTGTTATTGACCAGAGAGGGAAATTCATATACTCGAGTAGTGCCTTGCCTGCTCTAAAGATTCCCGATGCCCTTTCCAAATTAACATGGTTTGGTTCCAACATGTTCCTTATGTATGATGTGTTGATTTTGAGATGGGATGATGTGTTGAAATATTGGTTAGACGTGGGTGTTTTATAGGAAGTGGGGATTTGTCACTCAAGTAAAGGAAACGACAGTTGAAAGAAGGTATATATGGTACGGGATATATTTGTACTCATTACTAGTATTCAAGAATATAAACTTATAGTGAGTAAAGCACAGGAAACAGCATGAGAATTCCGTTTCGCGAGATTGCGGATACTTTTAGAGATTATAAAAGAATCACTTTATGCAGTTCTAAAGAAGTTTTTTGTAAAAGATAAGAGAAATCATAGAAATAGCGCTGCGAGAAGTCTTCGAGATATACCGGTTTCCTAATTTGAAATCAAAATTTTATCCCTTCTAACCGTATGAATCACTCTTGACAAAGGTATCTTCTTGTATCGCCCCCTTTCTTAATCATAGTGAAATGTTCATATTTGACAACGGATACAATTTTTTTACTTTCGAACAACAACCAAATGTTCTCGTCAACAACAGACAAGAACATGTCTGTCCGTCGCCACAAGCTTCTTTTGAATTCCGAAGTCTATACCCTAACAAGCCCCTTTCGTACTTTCAAGCCATGCTTATGGGTACTTTAGCACTTGGTCTAGGGTGTCGGTCTCCATCACGAATCAATTTATTCTGTGGTTATGGTTTATCTAATTCTTCTAGGAACATAGAGTAGAAGTTATTTATAGAAGCAGAAAGAGTTCCGACTTAGGTCCAGGTGTATTGGCTGGGATGTTTGAATTATGGATAACCCGGATTTGTTAGCTCAGTATTGATACAGAAGTAACTTGAGGATTATAAAAGAGTCATTCTTTATGGCTGGCTTCACAGTTTTTCTATAACCTGCAATAAGCAATACTTGGTATAGAAGATGACAGGATCTGGTTGGTTGAGAATCCAACTCCTTTGTGACTTTAGCTTTAACTCTCCAATTCAAGTTCGCATATTTACTGCTCTTATTTATTTATATATTCTCATCAAATGATTTCTACAAGTGATCAAGACGGGTCTCAACGATAATAAATGACAATCAAACTATAAATACAACCACCAGCAGAAAAGGTTACGTCTCTCGTCTCGACAATGTCTTTTTATCCGATTCAGACGATTCCTACGATTCATTGCATGTTTATGAACAAATATCAAAAGCTCAACTAACTAACACGTTTCTCAGTCGGAAATCTATAAATTCAGCGGAGATCAAGCATTTGAAGATCTGTACACGATACTATGGAGATAAAGACATGTGATTATTTGAATGATCCTATTCACTGTTAGGGGGGGGAGGCGGGGGGCTGGTAACTCTGTTATTTGGTTTGATTTCTCAGGAGAGGGTGTGGGTGGGCTTTTATAGATGGGGACAGAAGTTTATGTGGTAGATTTTGTGGAATTTATATTAGTTGTGATTGTAGTTATAGATGTGGATGTGGTGAACTGGTGGTGAATAGCAGTTGAGGTCACTTGGAGGCATTGAGAATCGAGAGGAATCGAGGTATTTTAGTGAATCTAGATTGATGAGTGGGGAGGGAGGCTGATAGTTATCAAGTTGGAAACTGTGAAGTTAAAGTCTATAAAAACGCAACTCCGCATAGATCTACAGGTTTCTTCTCAATGGCATGCACTCGACAAGATTTTGAACGCACACAGGTGGATATGTCTCCTCCAAGCCTTCTAGATATTTTCTGGATAGATTTGTACATCGATGCTCAGAAGAGCCTTTTGTATATTTCCTCTCATAATTGACTATCGTCTATTGTTCACTGACGACAATCAAAATAAGCCGGCAAACTCGCTCCCCAAATAATAACAATGATTTATATCTCGGCTGAAAGTGAGGGGCCTTTTTATAGAAGTCGAAGGAGTTTGAAACGATGTCACAGTGTATCGTATGAAAGATTTGGGTTGTAAAGTTGTGGAGAGGCCGAGCAATGATCAGGTTTGGATGTGCCATGGTATATTTCAATATTAAACTTTTATATTTGAGAGAATAAGGGTATTTCGGCAGCCTGAGATTCTCCGAGAATATGTCCCGGAAGTAGTGCAGATAATCAATAAGATTATCTATCAAGTTCTCGCATAACTCGAAATGAAAGACTTCAGCTACGTCATTGAGTTTAATTAGTTCTTGTGTGTAGCTTGACATGGAAATGTTTATAAACATGTGCTTGTATCAGGAGAGAAGGACCATAGCACTGATCTACTCTGCATTGCGAAAATATTACAGGAGCTTGGCTAAAAGGGGCCCGGATGAATCTCGCGAGCCGCTCGTAGTGTTTGCATTGCTCCAAAAAGACGATAATCATAGAATAAGACAAACAATTTGAAACGCGTTTGGGTGGTAATGGCTACAGTGCCAATAACTACAACGGTAGTAGTGATTCAGTTGAAGGTAGATGAAAGTAAATATATCTTGTATTCTCGCTTCCAGAAATTCAAACGATATCAAGGAGCATGTCAATTGTAGACGATGATACCTCTACTGATTCAAAATACGTCGAACTTCAGATTGATATATAGATCACTGGGTGAATGTCTTCTTGATACTTGAATTGTAATCGTCTCTTTCTTTGGCAAGTTTCATTTAGAATACTTGAGGTACTTATATTGTTTTTAAGTCCAAGAAATTATATTTGAATGGGGATACTATGCATATCTGCTGAAATGGATATTGGAAGGCCATAAGAATACAATAATACGAATTGGAGACTTGGATCGTGACCGGATTACTATACAAGGCTCAACCCGGTACTACATTACTGCTACAACATCTCATTAACTTTATAAACTCTCCCGAAGGACTTTACACTAATTAGCTGTCTTTAAGGGGTATACATAGCATAATGTTCTGATAGAATATGGTTTTTACAAAGATGGATATGTGCAAAGTACACCAAAGCTCTGGATGCGATATTGACTACACACTATTACACTTGGCATTTTGAGTGTGATTTCATTTTAGCTTCTACGATTTAGACAACCCAATTTAGCATCAAATACATGACAGAAAAATTGATAACAGTGATATACATGACAATAGCCCAGATACAGTTAGGATTGATGATAAGCATTTTGAGTTAGTTTAGAGTCAACACATCACATCCAAAAATTGAAGATGACATGAAGTACCACGCTCAAACGCTGTGGCAGTTTTTAAAAAAATGGATTCAACAACCTTATGGAAGCTTAATTTTCCGGAATTCAATTCGCGATGTGCCTTCTCAAAGCCGGAGAATGCGAATAATATATAGTCAAAAAATGCCTAAAAGAGATAGGTCCAAAACATTGGCTGGTTACTGGTCAATCTAGCTTCCGCACATCCACTTGGCCTATACTAGTACCCAACATAGATATTGACGTAGAGTCCACGTGAGGTTACAATATCCTTCTTCTCTATACACACCAATATATATATATGTGACAAACCATCCCTTCGTAACTGAACCAAATCAAATAACAAAGGTTTCAGTAACGAAGATGTGCTCAACTTAAAAAAATACATCACATCGGATTTTTAATTTAGTATTAGCTTTCTGGAATGAATGCTCTATTGGATATTGCAGCTTGTTGCTCGCAATAACTAGCAGTAAGTTGGTTAATGGTACTGTAATAGCAACAAATATTGCTGACAGCCACTAAATAATACTGAAGACGATCGGCAATGAAAATGGGATAGTGCTATATGGCTCTTCACTAGGTGTCAACCCACGAGTAGGAGGAGCCTGTCACTGGCAGGTTGCCAGTGCTTAAGTCCCAAAAGTTATAACAAAAGTGATCAGGAGGCCTGCCAATTCAATGGCTTTTCAGCAATCATTAGAGCTCCTTCTCGTTTATCAAATCATATATATATACGAGTACTGAGTACTTCAGATTCACTTGAAACTCACAGTGGCAATGAAAGGGCAAAAGAAGTATTCACGCTTGTCGATATTTTGCTCCGTAACGAAACTCATGGTAAAACCCTGCAAAGTACTATCTATACAAGAGAGATAGATTACAATCAATTGAAACCAGAAAATGAAATAAGCTCGAAGGCATGTTAAATATAAGGGTGTTGGTTGATTCTGAGGCAGCTGAGATAGTACCCGCGATACTTCCCTTCCTTCCTTGAAAGTAGCTATCTCTTATATCATGACGGAGTAGCCATATATGTAGATTTCAAATAATAGATATAAAGTATCTGCCCCATTGACAAACAGCGGGTAATAGTCAACACCATGAATAACAGTGCTGATAACAGCAGACTTAAATGCGGGTCAAGCTCACTAGTCACGGTTGAACATAAACGAAAAGTTCGAAGGCATGGGTTTACAAATTATGGAATTTCCGTCAACAGACACAAGCTCTAACTCATTCCAAGTCATGCATAAAGGAGTCAAATCCCTTGGGGTCACGGATATTTGCCCAATGGATCATATATATACGCATATTGAGTTACAAGCAAGCAGTCTTTTCGGTATAATCGTCATAGACTCATAGAATTCACTCTCCTTGGGTCTCTAAATAGGTGATACTACAATTCACTACAATTCTGTGACTAACACATAGTTTTGAAGACATATAAACTTTCACAGTCAACACAGGAGGAACAGCAGGAGACGCTTTCGAGAGCGACTCGGATCAAGTCCCAAAAGCCTGTGAGACTTGATATTTCTTGTCGAATAGACTCAAGCCTATCCCTGAGTCAGTTTTCCCCACGGCTTTGCGCTAATACTGATTGACAGATAAAAGGACGGCAATTGAGGGAATTGTGACAATGATAAAAGGTTGAGGAATGAGACGATATCTCCAAAGCCTACGTACTCACAAGGACGAGAATAGCACCCGCACCTGGGAAGATAGATAACCATGTGGATTGAGAAATCGAGAATGGTATATACTCGAACCGCTTGGCTTTCTCGGATAGTGAAGCAGGTAATCTTGTTTTCTATCAATTATCCACGGTGACACCTATTTCGATCTAGAGATGTTTATATAATAAATCCTAAGGATGCATTTTACTTAGCTGGTCGATTTGGCTTAGTAGTATCTCAAAGCTAATCCACTCGCAGGAGAAAGAAATGTATCATTCCGATGCCGGAACTACGAGTATTCATCTGTTACGTTTATGGACAGTAAATGAGGCCATGGGTGGGTATATAAACAGCCCCGAAATATTTACTAAACCTGATACAAGAAATGCAACAAAGCTGGTAGTAGACATCCAGGGACCCAATCCTGCCTGTTCAATTACGAAGGTATATTTTTCCACAAATGAAGCATTCCTGAACATTGAGGTTAGAGAGAACAAAAATGCAAAGAAAGTGAAATTGTATAACTGGCAACAAATATATACATGACAATAACCACTCATGTGTGATAGATAATTGGATCTAGATCTGTGGAATTATCGATGCAAGACTTTGTTATCTCATTGCCCCATCTCAGCGAAAAGTCCAAATACTATGTATATTTCTATGTACTAATCTCAAGGTCTGATAACCTCTAGGAGTCAATGTTCTACTTACCAAGAGGTGTGATTGATTTAGAGGCATTATAACATATCAGGCAAAGAGCAAATTGATTTGATGTTTTATTATATTATTATATTATATATATACAAAAGTTCTGCAAATTTTCGCTTCTCAAAATACATTTGAGATCTGGCAGTTTCAAGTCGAAGCTATAAAAAGAATGTAAACAAGAAGTTCGATAGAGCATCGTATACAGTATGGAAGGATTAACGAATTCAGGCTGTTGAGGTTGTTGCTTGTTGATCTCTGCGTAATATCAGCCAACCCCTTCTGCTAAGCAGATTTTGTCTTGAATACATATCTTGTTTATTCTTTATAATATCAATCTCATATATAATAACAGTCTCAATTACGAAATTCTGACAGCAAGATCCAAAATAGCAACTGATCTTCCATTATCAACCTTCGAAAGCAGAGCTTTAGGAAAATCGAAGCTCTTGTGGGAGATTCAAGACGTTTCATTAAATAATCATAACTCAAATACTACAGAAAGTCTACCCTCAATCTCTTTTTGTGTTCAGTCTACAGTCTACAGTCTAGAGTCTATAGAGAATATATCTTTGCACCAATATATGACTTTATATCTATGAGAAACTAATGACTGGAGCCCAGTTTACAGTGGTATATTGGGCCGAGAATTTGTTTAAAAAATATATAAATGACACTGAATCAACAAATTATTTGATCACCTCTCCTCTTTCAAATTAATCCCTTCAAGGTGCCAGAAGTACTTAGGCCAAAGATCTTTATACAATATTTGTTTGAGTGTGTCATGAAAGGAAGTGATGTTGTCGACCATAATAAACCAATAAATTTTCATCTCATCTTAAATTGAATGATCAACAATATCTAAACTCCTATCCCATCAGCGACAATAGTATATATGAAGACCACAATAATAATAAGAACAACAACAATAGCCCCCTTCCACCCCCCTACCATCCCAACCTCAAAGCCCCCTCCCTCAACTCCTCACCTCCTCACCTCCTCACCTCCACAACAACGCACATAAATCTAGTCGCTCCAGTCGCTAGAACATGTGGCGGCAGCGGCGGCTACGGTAACGGATTCTATGACCGGTTCTCAGCTACATGTTTCACGATCTTTTTATACTCACTTGGTTATTAGCTTTTCAGGTTAAGTAATTGTAATTCACCGTAAATCTATCTGCGTTGACCAGCTCTTGCTGAATCTGTATCGAGTATTTGTAGAAGTCTATGAGATGCATTTATTTGTATTGATGTGATTTTGATTGTACGAGCGATCGAGAATGTGATATCGATATATATATATGATTTAGTATGACATGGTATCTTTCCCAACCAGGACAAACATCCCAGACAAATGAGACGCCGGCGATATGCTATGATATCTATTGTATCTCCTTGTTTGAATAATATTTATTACTTTTACATATTTCAAGTCCTTCGACTCTCATCCCCCTCTTCAACATTAACATTTCTCTTCTTCATGCACACACAATTGCATGCACAACCCGTTCCCGTTCCCGTTCCCATTCTCATTGCGCTTCCACTTCCACTTCCACTTTCCATCCCCACAATCACACCACCCACATTCATATCTTCCCCTTGCTTTTTCCCCTTCACTTCTATCCAACTCTCATCTGTCATCTCTTTCTTCTTCTTGCTTCCATCCTGTCGCAATCCCTCATACACATTATCCTCCTCAACCATCCTCCCATATACATATTCTCTCCCCACCACCCATCCCCCCCTGACTCTCCAATACCCCCAATAAACCACCCCACTCCCCAGTGTCGCCAATGCAGTCGCCGGATACGCATAATACGGAAACCTGCCATCGCCCTTCTCCTCCACCGGTTTAATCCAAGGTAGAATCAACAACAAGCAATTAGTAAGCATAAAAACCACCGTATATATCTTCTTCGCTCTAAACCGGGATACATAATTTTCCGCTGGCGTGGACTGCAAATAGAGTAAACCCCCCGAAATAGCAACCGAGATAATAGAAACAGGATATCCGCCAATATCGACCAGGAAATTATAGATTTCCCCTGGTGGCGGAACGACAATAACCAAAACCGAAACAAACCAATGAAGAAACAGTCCAGGAACCGGTGCATCGTCTCCTTTCCCGGCAAAGAAACGCGAGAATGGTAATAAGCCATCGCGTCCCAACTCCTGATTTACCCTCGCCTGCGCAAAACTCGTCGCTGCGATATTTCCAAACGCACTTACTACAACTGCTATGGGCAAGATATTTCCTCCAATCTGACCAAAGACATTTCTGAAGAAATGACCCGCGACGACAATACCGGCGGAGCGAAAATCGTCGAGTTCGACGACGAGGAAATAGGCAATGTTGGCTAGGATGTAAGCAGCCGAGACGAGGGAAAGGGCAATAGGGGCGGCGGTGCAGAGAGTAGGGATGGGGTTGCGGATCGAGGAGAGGACTTGGTTTGCGGTGCTGTAGCCGCGGAAACAGTAGAGGATTTTTAGAAGGGCGGTGGCGTAGTCGTGAGGTTGGGTGGAGGAGTTGGAGAAGAGGTTGGTGAAGTTTCTTTGAGCGGTGCTGAGGTTTGAGTTTGCACCGGGGATGTATTCGGTGTTGAGATTGAGACGGCGGGGGATGATTGATGATGTGGAACCGATGCGCATGAGGAGACCGGCGAGTCCGGATAGGATGACGATGAGGACGAAAAAGATTTTCCCTACTCCGAGGATGTTGATTATGCGGAGACCGGTTCTTGGGTATCGGGCATGGATGATACATGTGAGTGTGATAACGGCAACGGCGATACTGCGAACGTTCCATCTATTGGCGTCGATTTCGAGGGCATACATTATGTATTCACCCAACACGATACAATTTGGGGTAGAGAAACCAAGAAGCACGACATAACTCATAAATGCACATGTAGCTAACATTCGGGGTTTTCTGAATATTCTCTCGAGATAGATGCGCTCACCTCCCGATCGAGGAAATGCGGTTCCGAGATCTAGGTAGACGGCGAGACCACAAAATGAAATGAGGGATCCGATGACCCATAATGTAAGGCTTGCTCCGACGCTTCCTACAGATTGGAGAATGGAGCTGGGTATTGAGTATATTCCTACTCCGACTGTCTTGCCTACTATGATATTGATGGTGGAGAATGTACCAAGTTTAGAAACTTCTGATGTTCCCGGACCGTTATGGAATAATGGAGTGCGTGGATCAAAATTTGAAGACTCGGCTGGTGATACTAAGGTGGTACTTGAATATGAATCGAAATGTTCATCCTCATCATCAGATTCTTTTGGTTTTGAACTTTCAAGACGACCATTTGGCGTTGATAGAAAGGTTCGTGGCGTTTGTAGAAACGGCGAGTCACCATATGGTAAACCTCTTCTCGAGCTTTCAACATCAATCTGCAATCCCTTATGTCCATCTTTGTTAATCGAGTATGGTCTCCTGGGTGTAGCAGGGGATCGACAACTTATTTCAAAGCTACTTCGCAAAGGTGTTGAAACAGTTGATATAGTATCGCCGAGAAATGATCTCGACTTTGAAAATCCGCCCATTTTAGTGAGTATGATATGAGGGAATTGGAAGATTATCGCAAAATTTTAGAAACAAATGTACTTCATTGGATGAACCAAAGTCGGAGGATAAAATTGGTAAGGCTTGTCTTCGAAAAGTCATGCAGGAGGTACTAATGAGCAAGTTTCCAAGTGAAAATTACGGAGTAAAGGACAATAACTCGGGAAGAGAAGCATGGAAATCAATGGGGAAAGAGTAGTTATGAGGGAGTTCTTGGATCAACTATGATACATGAAACATCCTCCCCGGTTTCTCTTCAAACCAAGCAAGTAGTGCCGAAGTCCCAGAACTAGAGATCAGCATAAATATCAACGTATGCCCATTCACTATATCGACTATATTTCCTATATTTCCTCTATTCCTTCAAGAAGAGTACGTATACATCGAACAGTAGCAGTCCCATATCCATATCCATGACATAGGCAACTTCACTCGAAAGCCAGACTTTGAAACGATATAGAATCCTTGACCGGATAATCTGATTGTTCATCTCGAAGAGATATAGAAAGGAAAGACAACTCATGTTGCCAGAAAGTTTGCAACTCGGGAAGTTTAAAAATAGGCTATTCCTGTTGTAGTTTACCACCATGTGGTATGTGCTAGCTTACCCGAGTTGCGGAATTTCTGGCGGCATGAGTACAACCCGTGGTTGATCAGACATAGGACGTCTGACGCTGAAACCTCGGTAATGAGGCATTGCTTGATCTATAAACTCAATTGAATCCGATAAATTTCATCAATGCAAGTATTGCTGACGTGTAATTTGTGAGCAAGTGAAGCTGATAATCCTGTATTTGTGATTAGAAAGACAATAACATTGATAACATTGATATCATCAACTTCATATATACAGTATCGGCCCATCAACCGGTCTCAATGTATCGGTATTCCAAAATTGTAATATTGTTGTCGATATAGAAACGCCAAAAAGCTTAAATGAAGTTGTGGTATTTATTGGAATATTGATGAGTCAGCATACTCGAGTAGATTTGTGAGTATACAGTACGAGTACAATGGAATATATTACTTACTCTGATATTATATCTTGATTCTACTAGTGATAAGATATTCACTATGCTTATACTATAATATCTAACCTCAATAGGTATGGGGAAGTTCCAGGCGAGTTTGACAGCTCCGAGAATGTCAATGTCAATTTAAATTCAGGAGTCTCCCCTTCGTTTAGTGATACTGTAGTGATAGTTAGTGACTCTTGTACAAGTATAATGTATACAGATTAGCACTGGACTATACACCCAGTTTAATAACGTGTTTCCAAAAAAAATCGTGATTTTTGATCTCTTTCATTTTTTTATTTCAATCTCAAAATAATTATTTTGATAATAAAGTTATTTCAATATTGAAAAATATCTGAAATCATTCTAATAATCAATAATTCAATTATATTAAAAACCTTTTTCAAATTGAAATGATTTTGATAAAGATATTATAGATTGAAATTCGAATTGAATTTGAATTTGAGATAAAAATTAATAGAGTTACTGTCACGGGTTCACTACCCATTCCTAGCTAGCCCGGATGGATGCCTTAGGCATACATTCACCATATAGTCGTCGTCGAATATCATACATCTTACCTAGTACCCGTACCAGCCCCGTGACAGTTACTAGTAAAATCATGATTTTTTTTTGGAAACATATTATTAAACTGAATATATAGTTTCCTTGTACTCTCTATATCAAACATTAGATATCTTGAGTTCGAGTTATTATAAAAATCAAATTTTCTTATATTCTTATATGATTACTATATCAATATATAATAATAGATCCTAAAGCACTAATCCAATTAAATAATTAATAGAATAGACTTCTCTCTTTTGAACAATCCCGTGCCTAAAATAAAACGCTATAATTATTAAAGTATTGAAACAAACTATCGCCGAGTAGAAGTAATTTATATTAGTCTGTCTGACTCCTGAGAGTAGTTTAGATCTACTTAGTAGAACTTAATATATTATGATTTTGTATTGGTAAATCTTACAATACTACTCGAGTAAATTGGTAGCACTACAGTACTACTGAGTACTGTTACATATGCTGTATTCAAGAGCCTCGATAAATATACGAGTATAGGCGAGGTTATCAATAAGGAGGTGGTTTTTGTTTTTCTTGGCTCAAGATTTCTCTAATAATTTCGTGTATTCACAGTTTCTTGGAAGTATTTATATGTTCTGCGTCAAACATTGAAGGTATGAATGTATGAATGTATGAATGTATGAATTAAAAGTTCCTCGGCCTAGTGCCCTAGTGTATAACTATATACCAACCCATCCAAATATCAAATACTTTTGTCCTACCCTACCCAATGAGATTGATATCGCCAGCGATGAGATGAGTCAAAAAATAAGACTAGCTCCAGATTCCTTACTCCGATTCCCGCGTCCTTCCTTTGATTATATTTTGTCATAGTATAGCAAGTATACTTACTTCCCTAGAAATGAAATGGTATCCAATTAGTCATAAGTCATCATTGCATCCCTACCCAGCCCAGCCTCATCAAAGAACCTCAAACCACAATACAACCATCTTCCCCAACAAAACATTCTAACCATCTGCAAACCATTAGCACATCCATCCTTACATCCCACTCCCATCCCCGATAACCCCACCTGTTCTCGTACACCCATACCCCCCCTCCGGCAACCAAATCCTCTCCAGCACCCAGCTTCCCTCCCCCCCACCATACTTCTCCCTCTCCTCAAAAAACGGTCTAAAAGCTCCATCCACAATCGGACCCGGGCTCATTTTCCCCTCCTGAACCACCTCACCCCCAACAATCGGTGCACCCACCAAGATCCCCTTCTCCTTCATAACCATCTGGAACATCTTTACCAAACACTGACTTGCACTCTTCGTGGCACATAGCGCCGAAATTTGCGGATCCGGATACTTATCTAGCATTCCGCCTGGGACTAGAAAAAGTGGATGTTCGCCCGAGTTTATATGGGCTGTATTCGCATGGTTCATAAACCACTGTCTACAGATAAACATCAGTATTTCCTCACAAACTCCAACACCAATATCAAATATCAAATATCAAATAACAACAGCAAGTAGCGACTAGCTCACATACCCAGCAACCAGGGTCCCCACCGCCGTAATACCAAAATCCTGCACCAAGACCTCCGGCCTCAACTCAAGAATAGGACTAGGAGCCACCCTTGCAGCATTATAACACAGCACATCGACCATCCCCCCAACCTGTTCAGCGCCCCAATCGAGGGCCGAGAGCAACGAAGAGGGGATCGAGGCGTCGCCGACGTGAACGAGGACTTTGGGTGCGTTGGGATGGTGATGCGCGATTTCCGAGGCGTAGGTTTGTAGCGAGGAGGGGTTGCGCGAAATTAGGATTATTTGCCAGGAGTGCGAGGCTAGGTACAGGGAGAGACTGAGGGACATGAGGGGGCCGGCGCCGATGATTATTATGGTTCGGGGCTTAAGGGAGGTCATTTTGAGGATTGGGTTGGGGGTTTCGTGTTGGGTAGTTTGATTTTAATGGTCTGGCTTTCTTTGAGTATGTTGAAATTGATGAAATTGTGAAGAATTGGAAATGATAGCTGGGTGTAGGGAATATGGTCAAAGGTAGGGGTACTCGAGTAGTGCGGGGTCAATACCCAATTAAGAATGCTAAAGGAAGCTTTTATTGGACGTTCAGAATAAATGAAAGAGCTTTCATACAATGCTCGAGTACTATACGAGTACAATGCGATGCAGTCGTCTGAATCAGCAATCTGCAGGTCTTTTTACCAATAAATTCCAGTGGAATAATTGAGCTTTAGAGCTTGTACAACATAAAATCATCATCTCGATTGTGTCTTTGTGATTGGATTATTATATTGAAAGGTTTTCTGTGTAACAATAATAAGAAAATATTATAAAATGAACCAAAAGAGAGGCATTCTCAAGACCTAAACTCAACCTACCTTACCTATTTACTCAAATCGTCAAATGAACAATCTATCAACCAAGACCTAGACCTAGTATACTCGAGTATAAACTCAGCACATAAAATATATTTACTATACAACAAGATCAATCCAATCCAATCCAATCCAGTCTCATCCAATCCAACCCACCATCTATCTATACAGTAGCACTCGAATAAAATATATAATATATAATATATCAAACTCCCAACTAAAAAAAAAGAATCTTTACTCGTACTGTACTACCAAAGTAATCCAAAACAACACAACACCACCACGATACCGAAATAATCATACGTACCTACGAGTATGAATACACTAGATTATATTCCCACACTCGAGTGCTCTTTCCTGAACAGTATCTTATTTTGCATCAAAACCATGTGTGACTCGAGTACAGTAGGTAGAACTACCACCCACCCAAAGATATATATCAATATAATAGAATTATATTAGTTTATTATTAATCGTACTCGTATATTATTTTCCTATCCTGATTTCCTGATTTCCTGATTTCCTGTATATCCTTAAGCTTGCTTATACAGTAGTACGCGTATTTCACTCACTCTTGCCCCGACTCCCAAGATGCGAATCGTATGTCACGGTTATGTATGAGATTCCATCACATCACACAGGATATCATATCCATCCCATCCTCACATGAAAAGGTAACCTCAGGTCCTCAGCACCAATCCAATCCGCCTACTGAGTACAAGTATATCAAGCCAAGATTTCCGCGTCCAACCTCCAAACAAGTATATCAACCCAAGATTCCCGCGTCCAACCCAAACCCAAACCACAAAAATCACCTACCTACAACAACCCCCACGCAACCAACCCTACACCTCCCAAAACCCACCCACTAACACTACTAACCCTCAATCCCCCTGTCCCACCTTTCTTCGAACTCGTCGCGCTCGCCGCACCCGTCTCCGTCCCCGTCGCACTCGGACTCGCCGTATTTCCCGTCCCTGCACTCTCATCCCTCATATTCCCACAAATCCCCGTCCCATTCATCTGATACGTCGGAAATAGAACCCTCGGCTCACCCTTATCCATCTCTATAAAAACTGTGCCATTACCACTCGCCGTATACGCCTTACACGTCACTACCTCTGTGAACTTCGTGCCTGGATCTGCGGCATTGTTTATACTCAAGGTATAGCTTCCCCCATTTGAACCTTGGTTACTGAGGACTGAGACGATGTGTGCGCCGTTGGGTCCTTTGCGTGTGGCGTAGGTGGAGTCGTCGGTGTAGAGGAGGATGGAGCTATTGCTGATGTAGTTGGAGTTTATGGAGATGGCGTGGTTGCGGATCGTGTTGAGGGTGCTGGTTAGGTTGTAGAGGGTGGAGGTTGTGCTGGGACTGTTTTCCCAGAGGGCTTGGCGGTTGTAGGGAGAGTAGTTTCCGGTAAGATGTTGTTCTTGTCCGTAGTAGTATTTGGGGATGCCGTCGGCAAGAATGGTGAATGCCATGGCGTTTGCTGCGAGCTGATGTCGATTGTTAGTTCATGTACAATGATGCATATAAGATATGAAAGATCGGAAACTTACGGTTTCATCGTCACTGTAAGAGGCAAATCGTGGCTGATCTTGATTCTCAATGAAATTCGCGAGGTACTGTGTCGATTTGCAAGCCACTTCCACCTTTTTAATCATTTCCACCAACCCTGACATCGCTCCCGCGGTGAAAGCTCGAATGAGAGTGTAATACACTGGATAATTTTCTAATCCCTGGGTATACTGCTGATAATTGCAAGTGAACGCAGCATCGCCATCTTCCACTTCACCCAGAGGATAAACACCAGCCGCTTCTACAAAATCCTGGAAAAAGTCGTATGAAATTTGTTTAGCACCATCCACACGAATTCCATCAATGGAATAATCATTGACGAGCGTTTTAATCCACTTTCCCAATTCGGCTGCCACTGCTTTGTCTTGGGTCTTGATATCCGGGGTTGCGACTCCGGTAAATCCAAGCCAGCAGTCTTGATATTCCGTGACGTTTTGCCAGTCAACAATTGGACAGTAGGAATTGTAAGATGATGCATCGTTGAATGGAGCGGGAGAAAAGGCAGAGTAATCAATCTTCGTGTCTGCTGTCATGTTGTGATTTCCTATATCAACGGCCATCTCACTGGCGACAACATCGACTAGGAGATACATCTTCCTCTTGTGAAGTTCTGCGCTTAGATTCTTGAGATCATCTGCTGATCCGAAATTTGGATTGAGATCGTAGAGGGACTAAAATATCAATGTCAGTCTTTTCTTTCGCTACTCCCCCTAAAGACCAACTGCATGCAAACGAAAGAAGTACCCAAGGGGAAACTCACAGTTTGCCAATATCCATGAAAGGCCTCTCCATAAATCGTTGTACTATTGATATTCAAATTCACCGGACTAATCTGAATCGCCGTAAACCCCATATTCTGAATATAATCCAAGTTCTCCGTGATACCATTCCAAGTTCCCCCACAATAATTCGTGATATTGCAAGGAGCATCTGAAGTCGATGATCGATGATATCTATCTGTGAGAACCTGGTAGATTGATCGAGAAGCCCAGTCATCGCTAGAAGCTGCTTGAGATAGACCCACGAAAAGAGGAACAAATGGAAGAAGTGAGTACTTCATAGTGGAAGGTGTGGTGTGTAAAAGATGCCGAGGGCAAACGAATGTGTGTAACCAATGAATGTACTGAGTAAGAGTAAACTACTCGAAGTGCAGGTACAATGCGTACAATCAATACAAACAGAACGAGAGACTGAATGTATGAAAAGACGGTAGAATAATCGCAACAATCTTTATTCGATTCGAAAATATAAGAAACCGAAAGAGAGAAGAAGAATCAAAATATCAAAACAAAAGGAAAAAGGAAAAACACCACAATCTTAAGCAATCTTTCCCACACATCATCATCAATCCCATTTAGGAAATGCATCCTTAAAACGAACTCAAGACATTTTTTGTACGGGCATGATATTGAATACGAGGGATTAGGGCGAACCACTCCGAGCCCACCAGGAACAGTGTGTGATATGATTGATGAGTAAGAAGGTTACATGCATCGAGGATCTTGGACTAATATGGGTATATACTTACTTTACACCCACAGATACCACAGATACAGTATTGCATGAGGAAGGAATACGGAAGAACGGCATTGTAATTTGTGAACCCTTGATCCAGATATCAAAGATAATGATTGGAGGAATACGAGGACAATCATTGAAAAATGAAATGTCCGATAACAGATTATTTCTCGCATTTAAAGGAAAAGAAAAGGGACCACCTACCTTGTAACTCATCATATATCATATCTGTGATTCTGTGCAATATACCTAGGATCATAGGATGAGAAGTCTGTAGTAAAAAAGATATCTTAACTCACCTCATACTTGGCCACAGAACCATATGCATCCCATTGAATCCGACGATTAAAAAGGTTTTGAAAACCTACTTATAAGTTGTAACCCACAGCGCGATACCAATCCACTCATCCACCTATCCACCTCAAAAAATCTCCATCTAATCATGCAAAACTCGTAAAATAAGTGGCATCAACAATTCAATATCGCAAAAACCCATTGATTGATCAATTAAAAAACTGAATACGAGAAGAATCAAAGGAAAAAAGATTGATTCCCCCCTTCATCAAAGCAGCACTCCTCCTTCCTCCTTCCTACCTAGCTAGGTACTTCTCGTACCAGATGGATCAAAAGAATCAAGATAAAGTTAGGATCTACCGTATATACGGAGTACTCAGTACAGTATTCGAGTGCGGTAGATATATATATATATACCGGCAGTTCCATTTTAAAGATTCTTCAAATTCATGCACGTCTGGTGATGTTGATTAATTATGGATTTGCTTGGATTTGAATGGGACCCTAATTTTATTTGTTGTTGTTGTTGTTGTTGTTGTTGTTGTTGTTGTTGTTGCCGATTACTTGTCTTTTTCCGAAACATAAACCAACCAATCAAAAACATCCAAAAATATATCTCAACTTCCTTTCCTTCCATCCCAATTTCCTTTCCTTCTATTACATCTACCCCAATTCCCAATTCCCAATTCCCAAGTACTGTACTCATCCCATCACATCACAAAACAACACTTGGCACCATCAGATAATCAGATAATCAGATCCCCCCCCTTTCTCAAAAAGCTTAGCAACGCCACCATCCATCCATCCCATCCCCAGATAATTTTAAAATTTGGGGAAAGGGTAGCTAGTAATCTTACACCAGCTTCAGAGAGGAAATTAAATTATTGGTTTGTGTGGAAGAATAGGTTACATTGTGTCATGTTCATGAATATCATTATTATATTATTACTCGAGTATATATAGAGATGTACTCTAACAAAGTCAAGAGTGATACTCGAGTACTCAAGTATACAAGATAGATCACATCACATAATAACACAGAGAAAATCCTTATATCTTCTTTCCCAAGATATACAAGTTTCTTTGAAGTTTGAATCTGTTTATTATTTACTCGAGTATGTACCTATTTCATATGTACGAGTCATGTGCCTTATACTCGAGTAGTTCGTTCTTAAGCTGTTGGCTTTCTCCTGAGAATAGCCGGAATCGAATCATGGGAAATCATATTAAATACGAGTAGGTAGGTTCCTTTAACAAAGTATCAATAACCTCTCAAAGCTCTACCTCCAAACGCTTCGCACCCGTCAAATTCCCCATCAACTCCCTAACCTCCAGCACCCTCCCAACCACAAATTCCCCCAACACCCCCTCCGTCCCTCCAACTACAGCACCCACCAACAACCCCAATACCACCCCCAGCACCACCCCCCTCCACTCCTCCCTCACCACCCTCATCCACCACCTCCACACCTCATCACCCTTCACCAAAACCTTTACCGCCGCCCCATAACCCACCCCATAACCATAACCCCCAAACCTCCGTTCCCTTGCACTCCTCAACCCCGGCAACGCATCATGCGAATAACTATTATTCTGCACTTGATAATCCTGCATTTCATCTTTCGCGACTTTTTGTCCAGCCCAATGACCTAGAGTCTTTCTATCTGTCCAGGGACCTAGGGAGGGAGACGGATTGGCTGTTTGATGGGATATTTGGGTTGGGAGGGGAGTGAGGAGGGGGACGCCGTAGCCGCAGGATGTTTGGACCTGTTTTTTTTAGAGGAGATTTCGTTAGTTATGTGAGGTGAGGGGTGATAATCTCAGCGCCCTTTTTCCTTTTACTTTCTTTCCTGCTTTCTTGCTTTCTTCTCGAAGTCGAGAACAACAAGATTTCAATATCAAGATCCCAAACATCAACCTTACGGGTGATAGAAAGAAACAAACCCCAACAAAAATCAAGAACCACCACCCACTAACCTTCCAAACATCCAACAAAATAACCGCCCTAGCACCCTCCACATTCTCCATACCCAACTCCAACAACGTCGATGCGAACGAAGGGGTATTCCATTCCACGACTTTTCCTGTGCAAAAGAAGCGCATGATGCGGGGAGTAGAAGTGAAGGAGCAGAACATGATGGTTATGCGGCCATTTTCTTGGTGGTGAGTTAGTGATGCTTGGAGAGTAGAGAAAGGTGGAGAGGGATACTACTGAGTAGTGAAGAGATATTGTAGGGGGGAAAGAGATAAGGTAGGAAAGAGAGAAGGAATAGAGGAACGAACCGTAAATATGACTTATGGTTTCGACGCCAGAGCCGGTTGCGTCGATACTGAGGTTGAGAATGATTAGATTCGGTTTGGAGATTAGAATGCTTTGAGATGCAACATAACACCATGGGAATAAAGGCTAGGTAGTGATAAATGTAACCCGAAGATACTCGAGTATACATCTAAAGCCAGATGAATATCACATATAGGCTAACCATTTCATATATCATCCCCTCATCCACTCATCCACTCATCCACTCATCTCCCCATTCCCCATCCCCAATCTCCTCATCCCCCCCTCCTCTCCCCTCTCCCAAAAACCACAAAAATACAAAAACCACAAAACTCACTAAGCGCACCTCTTCCCCCCCAAAATTCTAAACATCGCCCCTGGCAACCCCTTCGGACTAACATTAACATGTTTCCCATACGTCGGGGCCGAAGCCACAAAGAAAAGCGGCTGAGCCATTGCCCAATCCGCTAGTTCTTTTGAGATTGAATCGAAGTATTGGACCATTTTTGTTCTTGTGTTGTGTTGTACTTGCTTGATGTTGTTTTGTATTAGGGAGGTTTTTGATTTGTGTATTGTACCATGTACTATGTACACCGAAAAAAGAGACGAAGAATAGAGATTAGAATTGAGAATACGAGTATGTGTGTGACAAAGAATTCACTTGTAGACTTGTATGATTGTAGTCTTGTATACCAAGGGTTTATATAGAAAACACAAACGATACACAATGCGATTATTATGAAAGCTTTACTCGTAAAAGGAAGGCCGGATTTCCTAGAAGCTTAATTGGAGAACCCTTTGCACGGCACGATAACATGCACTTCTTAGTCATCTGCATATTTTGCCTATTATTGTTCTTGGCATATGAATCGTGGATTGGAACTTGCACTTCTATGTACCTAGGTGGGTATGTAAAGCTTATGCTCTTACCTATTTGCAATAATGATCCAAGCTCCTGAGATTATCTCTCGTGCTTCCATATTACCATGCCATGTATATGTTGGTCCATCTCTCATCATCTCATCACTCATAAGGTCTAAAATCCATAGATGCCATTCACACCATTCCCATCGGATGGAGCCAGATCAGGCCGAACCAACGCAGCCATCATCTTCTCGGTGTAGATTAAAAAAGAGAGAAGCCAGATTCAACTATTGTTGTACAGGGGTAATGTGACCAAATAGACGCCTTCCGAAAATGCCCACCTTTAAAAAGAAACGCCTTTGTGGATATCCAGTATACATCTCCTGAAATATGGAGAATATATTGACAGTAAAGAACGTATGTGTGGTATAATTAAAGGAAGTAATCACCGGCACCTCTCCGACCAGCTGGAACAGCACGTTGATCTTCTGGCACGGCGCTGAAGATGCTGAATTTGGGTTTAAGGTCCTCGCCGACATTCATAATTGAAGCTACGTTGCCACATCGGTAACAGTAGTTAGGAGCTGACCATACGGTAACAACGGACTTCTGAGCAAAATGGTACTACAAATTGTTAGAAAGGAACCAGTCAAGAAGACAGAATGACATACCTTATATCCCTCATTAACAAGTTGATGGGCACGAGCAATGAGTTTCAGACCATTAACATGATTGAACTCATTGGCAACCTTATCTCCGAAAAGCCATCCAGCACCACGAGGAGAAACCGCCCAAGTATCAACTTCCTCAGGATCACTCCAAACCAAATCACAGAAAGCACCCTCATGGGGAATTTCTTGAGCACGTGCAACAACTCTGATTTGATCAACGGTTCGAATTTCTGGACTTAAACCACCGTGAACGCAAAGAACCTCTCCATCAACGACGGCTGCAAGGACAAGAAAGTCAAAAACTTGGCAGCAGGATTTCCAGACTGAAGCATTGCCGTATTTCTGTTGACATTCTTCGTAGAACCCATATACTTGTGTGATTTGACGAGATTCGTGATTTCCGCGTACGAGAGTAATCTTATCAGGGTATCTAGTACAATTAGCAATCCGGCCTGGCTGAAAGACGAATATTACTCACGTAGCCTTCAAGCACATCAATAAAGTGAAGGTTTCTAAACTGAAGTATCCCCTATCGACGAAATCTCCGAGGAAGATAAAATTTTGGTTCCCACTTCCAGAGACTTGGTTGTTGTTGATATTGATCCCGGAATCACCCCCAGAACTTGCACTTCGATTTGATCCACCTGCAGTACGTGGACGGCCTCGACGTTCATCGTCATCATCATCATCTCCACTTGCACTATCCATGCCACTGTCACCACTGCTTCGTATCTTTTTCTTCAATTTTGGATCTGTGATTTCTGTGGGCGGTTCGATCGCATCTGTGTTGATAACAGTGGTGGGGGCTTGGACATTCGTCTCTCCTGGCATGCCACCGGCGATACGAAAAAGCTCGAGCAAATCGTAGAATTGTCCATGTATATCACCACAAATTGTGACAGGAGTTGCGACAGGTTGTATATTTGACTCTGTCAAGAAAAATATCAGTACAAGAAGATGGCACCGAGGGTTTTAGAGACAACTACCTTCCATTAAGCACTCCTTTACCATTTCGCAAAGTTGTTTCATTGCCCACTCTGGTAAGTAATGACATTGCTTTGCCTCTGATAGCCATTCATCAAGACCAGAACGAGGACCTAATTTCGCAGCGCCAGGGCGGGGTACTGTGGGACTCATGTTGAGCGATTTGATAAAGCGAGTGCGAAGGCTTAAGCTTTCGTTTGAAGGCGTGCGGAAATGAACAAGATTGTGTTGTGGCACGAAGTTTCTCAACCTTGGAGGGGTCAAGTGTCTTCCTGAATCCTCTTTTACTTCTTCCGCGTCTTCTACAGTCGTCTCGAGGCTGCAGATGTACTTTGGTGATTTATATGTCTTTCCAACAATGATTCCTCTGCCGTGGTCGTACTCAGCTGCTTCGATTCTCTCCTCAAAATTGACCTCGTTTTCTTCGAAACTATCGTAATCGTCAGGAAGTGATTGTTCATAATCCTCCTGATTGAATGCACCTTCATCTGGCTAGCCTTGCAGTGTGATTGGCACCATCTTATCACACTAATACCAATATCGTAATATAGCCGAGCTTGTTGACAGAGATTGTCTGAAATGTGACCGTATTCTCGGTGATTAGTTATGCTGACTCAGGGCCCTTGGTGAATTGAATTTACCCCACGTCCAACTTAACCTGGACCCATCACCCATCATCGGGACCCAAATCATCCAAAGCATCAAACAGCAACAGCAACAGCAAACAATCACAATCACAATCACAATACAATAAAACACTTTTATACTTGCACAAATAAATCAACAATTCAGTGGATGATATCTCGGATGTTATAGATTGTGGTCTTGTTTCTCTTATATTCATGTGCTTCTCAATAATTGGCAAGATCGCGCAATTTGAGGAACGTGGATAATTAATTACCTAGTTCAACAAATATTTGGCACAACACTTCAGTAGACAGTCCAACTATCATATAAGATGGCCACCACCGCAGGATCTCGCAACCAAACGAACGGTGTTCTCTCTGTCACGACTACCCAGATACCGGGCAATTCATCCAAGCAAAATGTTATCAAGCCAGCAAGTTCCAAAATGAAGCTTGTCGTTCGCAGATTAGCTCCTGGACTTACTGAGGCGGAATTCTTCTCTATTCTCGGGGATGACTGGAAAGCAGGGCAAGGAAAGGTCGATTGGTTTCAATACAAACCGGGAAAAGATTCTAAAGAGTATGTACTGTTGTGAAGTATGCACCAACATGCTTACAGACAAACACAGCCCTTCCAAGCCATCGCGACCTTCTCGAGCGTATCTACATTTGGCCAACAGTGACAATCTCTTACCATTCTCCGAAGCCGTGCGGAAATCGAGTTTTGAAGATGCAAAAAACACTTATACGAATTCTTGCCTCATTGGACCACCCTCGGTTGAATTTGCACCTTACAGTAGAGTCCCCGCAGGTCTCAAACGTCGTACGGATGCTCGGGCAGGAACAATTGATCAGGACTCGGAATTCATGGCATTCCTGGAAGGATTAGCTAATCCGATCACCACAAAAGAGGCTGGTGCAGATGGCGAGGATATTCCAACAGGAAAGGCTGAAAAAGTCACTGTAACTCCTTTGGTTCAATTTCTGAAAGATAAGAAGGCCAACAAAACGAAGGAATTAGCAGCCAAGGCAGCAAAGAAACAAGAAACCTCAAAGTTCAAGGGCAAGGAAGGATCGAGTTCTACAGATGATGGAAGAAAGTCTAATAAGGATTCTAAACCCGACAAGGTCGCGGCTACGCAAGAAGCTGTCAGGATTTTGAATAGAGAGGCTGCCAAAAAAACAGTGGCTACATCCTCTTCATCATTGACCTCCGCGGCTGCTTCAACAAGTACTGAAAATAATGTCCCCAAGCTTGACACATCCAAAATCCCTGCAAGTGAAAGACAGGCTGTTGTCGCTGCTCATGTTCGCATGCTACGACGTCATCTCGGACTCAATCCTTCACAGGCGCATCGTCGTATCAAACGAGATACAGCTAGTGCAGTGAAAGCCGAAGCTTCTGAAAAGCCCACCACCACTCCTAATAATACATCATCTTCTCAATCTACTCCTACAACGCCTACCGGCCCCAAAATAACTCCTGTCCAGCCTAGTGCTCAATCAGGTAGCCGAAGAGCTAGAAGAGGTAATCAAAATAATGTCATCGAGCCGTCTGCGAACAAAGCGCCCACAATCGCTGCTACGGTCCCAGCGCCACCAATGGTCCTGCTTAGAAAACCCGACACACAACAGCGGGCTCAACAACGACCGAGTACCGCTAATTCTCAATCTTCATTTGCACCTCAAGTCGCCCCGAAAGTTGCTCCTAAAGTCACCCCTGCAGCTCCAACTACGACATCACCTCAACAGGCTACTCCAAACCGAGGATCAAAAGCTCAAGTAGATGTTCCATCAAAAGGTGCCCGACAAGCGTTTATCAAACATGCCAACCCATCTCAAGGTGTAACTGAACCACTGTTAAAAGAAGCATTGGAGAAATTCGGCAAAGTTTCCATGGTTGAGATCGATAAGAAGAAAGGTTTTGCATATGCCGATTTTGAAGACCCAGAAGGTTTGAAGAAAGCCATGGCTGCGAATCCCGTTGCCGTCGCTCAGGGTACTGTTCACGTCATGCAACGAAAGGGAAATCAGCTACCGCGTGCTGGTCCAGCTCCTAGAGCGCCTCCTCTGCCGCCTGCAAATCCAGCTTTACGTGGCGGCAGAGGTGGAGTTATAGGCAGGAGAGGTGGTAGAAATGTTGGTGGAAGAGGTCGCGTGGATGCTCCAGCTACGGACTCCTCAAAACCTGCTCCAGCCACTCCTACAGGACCAGCTCCAAAGTGAAGAGTCCCCGATCGCGAACGATGTTTCAACACATCCTTCAAAAACAGAATTGGCTGCAGCTCATAAGCCAACGGAGAATACGAGCTATCATCGGAAATACGAGACTTCAATGCAATCTCTAAATATCCTTTAAAGTGCCTTCTCAACAGCTACATAGTTCCAAGGATGGTATCGAGATCGCGCATGCGTTTATTCTCAAACCGCCCATCTTATCTTTTAAGCCCGAGGCAGTGAGATATGTGGAGGAAAAGCGTGATTACCAGTATGGACGAAGAGCCACATGTAATGGCAAGAGGGGAGAGAATTCAGAAGTATCGGTTCTTCAATGTAGGAGGCTTTGACCCCGAATAGACTTTATAGGGCTGCAGGTTAGTGGTGTCATGTCCAAAATGCTAGTACGTAGTAGTTTCTTGAGATTATTACAATCACAATTTTACACTTTTCTTACATATGCATATGGATATATGAATACATACTTTGTGTGATACAAGTAGGCCCCTTTTACTGGATGATGTTCTTTCAAACCACCTCTTTAAAATACATCCTATCAAATAGATTCATATTCATCAAATTGCGCGACATTTGATTCGAAGATACTCCGATTAAGTTGCCACTACATTTTCTTTTCGTCCTCGCACATCCACATACTTATGCTTGTTCATTTATCTTGTCGTATAGCTCTTCATATCATATTTACTCGATACTCCATACTCCATATTCGATTCTTCCACATCATTTTTTAAGTATTCAAGTGCAAATGAATATAAATAAATAAAAGTACTAGTTTTAGCGCTACTTCATGGTCTCTATTGGCTTGGTATAAATATGATATTAGCTATATTGAAGGGCTGCACGAAGGAAGAAAGATGTTCACTTCCATGGAACCTGATGGAGGAAGAGGGGTGAAAGAGGGGAGGGGTAACGCGATTAATGGATATTATGTTTTCTGATGTTAGTGTTGTTTATCTGTATTGTTGTTTATGTTGTTTATGTTTATGTGTGTATTGTCGTTATTTTTGTTGTTTTTGTTATTTTTGAGGACTGTTGGGAAGTGGGAAGTGGGAATACGTTTATAAGTCAACTACCCCACTTTTCGGCCACCCCCCCCTTTTCGGCCACCCTCAAAATCCACACCGCCTCAGCAACCTACCTTCTTAAATATTTTCTGATTAAACAACCATTCAATCAATTGATTTCAAATTTTGATTTATTATTATTTATATAATATCGAAACTCTATATTGAAGACAATATTGCTGTAACTTTAAATACTATTGTGAATAATATTTCGATACAAAAAGTTGCTTTGGAATATAAGATTTTTTGTGTTACATTTCAAAATCATATCAATAACTATGTATTCTATTAAAAAGGTTCTGAAATGATACAAAAGATTGCTCCGATTTAAGAGAGACATTTAATGGAATGGATATTAATACAAAAGAGCTTAGATATTAATTCTATTCATTAGCAAATTCAAAAAATTATTAAATATCTCCTTGATATAAAAGAACTTGATTTTATTCTTGGAAAATGATGAATATACAATTTTTTGGAAAGGAATCCAGAGATTAGAATCAAAAGACAATATAGACTCGATTTTGTCCAAGTTTTGGGTATTTTCTATAATATTATTGCACTATAATTTCAAAAACTCGATTTGCCTGAGATTATCGATATAAAACCACAAAATCGATACAATATAGATAAGATTGGTATAATAGAAAATCAGGGTCTTAACGGTCTAATAATAAGAAACGCCTAGTATCATCATATTCAAAAAAAACAATCTAGTTCAAGAATTTAGATATCTTTTATTGAGTATATTTCAGCAATAGAAAAGGCCTTCAAACTATTTGTGACCAAAAGGGTATAAACAGGACTCCGATTGTGTACTTAGAATCTACAAGTGAAGAGCTATGTAGGGTGCTAAAAGGAGGACTGTATATACAGGTATTGGGAGCCATAAGGGCTAGGCCCAAAAGAGTGAAAGAGTCCTAGAGATAAGCATCGTACGATGCCTAGGTCTAGAGCTCTAAGCTGTGAAACGAAGGTCCAAAAGAGCCGTCATATCATACTACGTATGTAGTATGAGCCAGTGGGCGGAAGAGAGCCGTCTGTTCCGTCACACTATTTGTTATTTTCAAGGGGAAAACTGTTCAATAATAATGGTTTTCTATTAATTTTGGTTTTTATAAGGATTGGAATTTTATTGTTATAGAAAATAGATAAATTATTAATATTATAAGGTTAGAATAATTGGAAAAGGTATTTATACCTTAAATTACCCCCTCTAAGCTTAGTAATATATAATTATTTATATTAGATAAATAAAGAAATTATGAAATTATATTTTTTATATACAAATATTTCGAATACAATATATATTTTCTACTCTTATCACTATATATATCCCATATCCTATAACCATTAGATTTATCAGTTTTTTCACCTCTAAAAAATGCCTATCGATATATACTCAATAATTTGAATTCTTTTTCTGATTCTATACTAATTGGAAAGCAGAAACTTTAATAATTCATAATATCAAAGCGGAATAGAAAACATCAGGTTTATAGCCCAAAAATCATATTAAATCTTTTATTTGTCGATTATTGCTTGAAAATAGTAATTAAAAAGTTTTATTAATTAATCCAATATCTAATAATAATCCCCAGTTTTAATGGAATATAGGGGCATTAGCTATTATTTGGAAAACCCTTTAAAAAATATTTGATTTTCGATTATATATATTGATTATAATCTAAAAAAAATGAGCCTGATTTGCCGATGAGACAATTGCTTTTTCGAAAGATTATTAAGATTTTTGATATCAAGGATTATAAACTTATGGTATTAGAAAAACGAATAAAACAATTGAAGTATCAATTAGAGACAGTTATACTTAAGAAAAGATGTAAAATTATAATTAATCCAAATACCAGGTTTACAGGAATTAAAGCTATTAGGGAGGTACAAATTGTAACTGAGGACTATGGAATTATTGCAGAGAATAACGATAATACAATTGAAAGTGATGGTACAGGCGATTTTATTTTAATTGAATAGTTATTGAGTTATATGGTTTGGGAGGTAGAGAGTTTTTTTTTCATCGGGTGGCCGAAAAGTGGGGTAGTTGACTTAAGGTTCCAGGGAATCAGGGATATTTTGCGAGAAGAGGGGAGGAGTGGAGGGGAGGGGAGGGAAGGGGACGGGGGAGACGGGGGAGACGGAACTACTTGGTTTATGGTGCTGAGCTGAACTGAACTGAGCAATTTGCTTGGTGTCGTTTTCTATATCATCATCCTTTTGGGAACTCCTTATTTAGTGTCCACTGTTAATTATTCTTATTGCTATGCCTCCCCACTATTGGTTATTTACTTGCGATGCTGCATATATGATAACATTATACGTACATTTGTTAAGGTTAGCAGCAAGTCTGATGGAGCTGTTGCTACGACTCGACTCATTTATGGTTGTGGTACGTTGGAGATGTTGATGTGTATTGTGTCAATAAAGCCCTTTCTGGCCTTGTAATTAACTCGTAAAATTTGGATATTGGCTCTCGAGGAGCCTCGATCGTGGTTTCTTTCGTGGTACTGGCTTGAGCCAGATTAGAAGTGAGCTGGGTCAGAATAGAATAGCGGATTTATATTATACCTTTGAGAAGAATTTAAAAATGAAGAGGTGGATGAACTAGTTTTTGCAGGTGGTGTGGTGGATCATTGTTAGGGGCTATGAAAGTGGGTGATACTTCCATGGTAATACAACTAATGGATTCACTACGACTACATTTGCAGTATTTTACCTCGAGGAATTTCTATAGAATTAGTGATTTGTCTTTTTGTCGGTATATAAGGGTCTTGAAGTGAGGACTCGAAATGATTTTAAAAACTATGCAGTTACATCAGATGAGCCTAGTTTTATGTCAGGGAGAAATGCGTCGCGCCGTTGTTTAAAAAGTCTGGATTTACCTGTTTGTGTTTGCTGAGTATACTCGAGTATGTGTATCCTAGAATAAATCATTGTTCTGAGGGTTTTGTTGAAAGCATAGATTAGTTATTGTCGTTGCCGTCATTGCTCTAGCAGTCGTTGCCGTAGCATCAGATATTCATTGTCATATGTTTCATCGTTTTATCGTTGTCAGCTATCTGAACTCTCAATATATCTACTCGAGTACGTAGCATGCTGTATGCTGCATGACCTAAGATTTATGATGGGGGCAGTTCGCTGAAGACCACTAGCAACTGATCTTGGGCTTTTTGGCTGGTTTCTATCAAGCATATATCTTCGTCTTCTTTTGAAAGTAAAGCAGAGTAATGGTCATGCGGATCCGCAGAGCTGATATCCCAGCCATGTTAATAAATATGTATGTACTTGTCCGTATCGAATGCTGTTAACAAATTACGATCTAACCTAGTCTACGTTCTTGTGTGTGGGTTCCATGTTGTGCAGCTTGTGCTGCAATATTTCAGTATGAGTTTAAATATTTACTTTAATTGAGTTAAGACTCGCTGTAAGAGGTACATTGTAGTTGGTTCTAAATTCCTGTAGCAATAAATGTTACGGTTTTGTAAGATATGAAGTAGACTTTTGGCTCAGACTCTTGTGGTAGATTATAGATACTCGGGTCACTATTACAACTACTTCATTGATGAGGCAGTGATAACAGAGGACGTGGGGAGAAAGATTTGCATGGTATTTGATGGGAAGGGGAGCTTTTATTGGACAGGTGACCCGTTCGGGGTCTATTGGAGGGATGGAATAAGGATTTAGTTTGATACGCAGTGCTGAAAATTGGGTATGATTCCATAGCTTTTCTCGTTGTACGATTAGCGGTTGGGTTTTCAGAGAGCTTTAGTGAACTAACTCGACTAAGTGAATAGTTTGAAGGGTCTATATACTTTGTTACTTTCATAGTATCGTGATGGGCGGGGTCAGGACTTGGATATATCATACCTGCTTGAGCCTCTGCGTATAGCAGGTTTAGATCAAATCATGTATGAATCCATCCATTCAGCTAATCGTAATTTACTCTTTCTCGAATCCAATATGTTCCGTATGGAACAGCTATCACAACTAGTCCCTGGTCTCGAGTAGATTTAGAATTCTTTTGTTTTCTGATGAGTGGTTGTGAGCCACCATGATGTTGGAAATTAGGCGAGTGCCAAAGGGGGTGAACTTGAGGTCTCTCTGTATCAGGTCTTTGATAAACCAACACTTCCAATATAATACAAACAAGCCCTAAGCCTAGGCTGCGCAACGGGTACCCGCGGGTCCTCCGTTTGCGGGGCGGATAATAGAAAAATCTGAATGGGGACCCGTTGGGTATCCGCTGCAAATACTCCGCAAATACTCCGCAGATATAAATTTTATAATATTTATAATATTAGTATAATATTAGTATAATTATAAAAATATATTAGTTTTTATATTAATCTTTATATTAATTA